ATGCCTTGTAACTTGATTCTGGCCTTTCTTAATTCCTGCCTTGTTTTAGGTTATTTGTGTGTTACAGGTCTTGGTGACTATGCTCTAACTTTTCCACTGGGCTGTCAGAAACCTGAGGTCAGGGCTGCCGCCTCTATTGCTCGTCCGCAGCTCGTCAACCATGTTCATTTTCATGTTGTGTCATCCTTATTGCTCCAGCCTACATCAACAGCCCCATTTGATGCATGAGCAACAGCGATTAGAGATCCAACCTTACAGTGACTTTATATCATCACAGCCTCAGACACCATGACACAAACCAAGAAATAATCAATGGCATAGTTTCTAATAGTGCAACTAAAATGGATTACCTGCTCCTAAGCATAGAGAAACAATTACAGCTGGAGCTGCTATGGAGGAGAGGGCTGATGTTCAATAATGTGAAATAGGAAATCTCATGAAGCTACAGAAATTGGTTATCTATTCTTAGCTCCAATCTGGAAGTGACTTTTTCACACAAAGGGATGCAAACCTCATTACTAACCACAGTCCTTAGAAATTCAGCTTCTGGCCCCCAAGCTGCTCATCCTTACAAAGGGAATGCAGCAGTCTAATCCATCTCTTCTTTGAGCCACAAAACTCAGAAATCTTATGACCCATAGGCAGCATGTTGGAGAAATATCGAAGGGAAACAAGGTCTTCTAAAAAGTACATCTGATGGACTCAGAGCCAGTGACAGCACAGCCAGAAAGAGCATTTTCTTCTCATCAGCTTAAGTATACCTCAAAGCACATGTAATTCAGGGCTGTAGATACAATGTCTCTCAGGCTTTATTCCAGCTTCTTTCCCCTACAGTATTTGGAAGATTTACAAGGGACCCAGAAAGTAGGGGCAAGTCCTTATTTCTCTGATGACTTCCTCTGTCATATTTAAGATTTATGTCCACCAGATCCCTTGAAGTCTGACTGCTCAAAGCAGAGAGCCCATGCCCATCCTGCTCAGGTGCTCCAGTGACCTTTACCTTCAGAAGTCTTGCCCGTCCCAGAGCTCTGCTGGGAGCAGGGCATGGGTCCCAACTGCTCTCCAGATTAAACAGCCTCCAGACCTTCTTACTATCTGGGATGTCCCTGCTCTCACCTTGTCCTTGAGACGCTCCCTCTGCATCTCTCTTCTCCAGAACACCCAACACCATTTCTGTGACGAGCTCAAGATTTTAAAACACGTTTGAAGCGTTTTGGACCTCAAGCAGCTTCTTCTCTCCGCCTTGCAAAAGTTTCCAAGATAAAGAAATAAGAACAACCTTGTTTCCCGTCTGAAACAGGGAAGGAGGAGAAAAAATTGGAAAACTCACACCAGTTGATACATCAGTCCTTTATTCTGCCATAAATAAAGACTGTGTAATAAAGGCAAGAGCAAGATGCAGATATCCCAGGGCAGGTGGGAGCTTTTCAGATAAGAGCAACATGAGACAGGCGGAAAAGAAACCAGCTTGGACCAGAGCTAGTCTAGTAAAAAGTTATCTCCAAGTTCCTTAGGGAGGAGGGAAAAGAGAAAAGGGCAGAATCTGCTATATATCTTTCCTTTGCAGCTTGCAGTCTATACATAAGAACAATGAACGGTGGTTCAATTCATTCTCCACAATACATTTACCATCTTCATAAAACCCAAGGTACAGAATCCTTTCTAAAAGTGTTAGAAACAGACATAGATTTGGACGATGCACACTTGAACACCAGAGTCCAAATAAGTGGACAAAACCAAATAAGCAATGCCCCCTAAGAGGACTGGCTTAACCCCAGAGTATTTCCATCTCTATGTGCAGAATATGAAAAATCACAGTATTTGAAAGGGGATCCAGGCGTCCGGGTGAGACTTTTGCACGACATAGACAGTTTGAAAAATATCAGATGCGTTTATCCAATTTATCACGCTACTCAGTTACTAAGGAAATGGATTCTGGAAGTCGGCCAGCCGTGCTTAACCTAAAGATTTGTGCTTTCCAAAAAGGAGTGAAGATAAACCTAGTTTATCTTTCCCATCTCAGACACAACCTACACAGGCAGAAGTTTTCCAGCCATAATATACTGTCCCCAAGCTTCTTTTTCATTTTCCCTAATTGTTGGACAAACGGTCCTGGATGAAACAACCAAAGAATCTTAAACAGGTGTGGTAAACAGGCACACAGTCTGCACACACGTGGGGAAATAATGTATAACTTTTTATTATGCAAGTAATCATGTAATGCTTGTTTGTTGTTAAACCAAAAAACCTAGAAGTTATATGGGTAAGCCAATAGTAGAAATTAAGAATTGCCTATTATCCTACCACCCAGTAATAACCACTATTAACATCTTGGTATAAATTTTTCCAGGCTTTTTCTCATATGTACACGTAAGTATATATCTAATTTTTACAAGATTAGGGTCATTGTACATGCTATTCTGTAACCTATTTTTTCATTTAGGAATATACTTTTATGTAAACAAGTTTCTATTTAATCATTTTAATACTGACGGAGCACTCCACTATACCATAATTTATTAGAAAATGTAGGTTACCTCCAGTTTTTTGACATTATAAACAATGCTACAATGAATGAATATACGCTAGACGCATTTCTGGCCAGTCCCTTCAGAGAAATTCTTTAAAAAGGAATTTGAGGTCATGCTGTTCAGATTTCATAGTTGTTTTGATGTACAAAACTGCCCTTCAGAAGAGCTGTTCCAATTTATACTCCCACCTGCATGGTGTGGGTGAGTGTCCAAAGCATTAATCTTAGTGCTGTGCAGTAAATGCACTGACAGACCCAACTTCTTACGGCTGTCAGGATCTGAAGCCCTAACAACACATTGCCCATCATTTGCAAAGGAGCATACCTGAGAAACAAAATATGATGATAAGTAATGTACATGTGTTCAATCAAAACAAAAATCTTCAGGAGACTCTCATTTGGCAATGAACTCTTAAATCATGTTCTATTTTTAAGTACGTAGTTTAATCTAGTCACCGTGTGAGTCTCAGTTTCTTTATCAACTAGATGTTCTCTAAGGTCCCTTCTGTTCCAAAATATACGGTTCCATTCCACAATGGGAGAGAAAAAGGCCCCGGACCCCTGGCTGGGAACCAAAGGCCCTTCGTGTGGCCCAGCTTCCTCTCTAGCCATCCCTCCACCGGTTCCTGCAGGAGCATCTTCCTGCCCGCTTGCTGTTTCCCAAGGGAGCCAGGTCACTTCTGAATTCTGTGTCTTTGGACACGCTATCCCCTCTACCTTAGAATATCACCCTCCTTTTCTATCTCCTGTGGCAAATTCTTCTCGTCCTTCAAGGCCCAACCCCAATAGCACTTTCTCTGTGAATCTTTTTTGGGATCCCCCCACCAAAGTCAGTCTTTGTTTTTCCCATGTCACCCCGTTTCTGCCTGTCTTACACCATCATGCGATGATCTTCTTATGTCTGTCCCTCCCATGAGATTGTGTGCTCTCTATATTTCCTGGATTAAGAACTGTGATGTGCATATCCAATGTGCTTTTAATAAGTACTTGATAAATGTGCAAATGAGCGCACAGGTTACAATTCTTCTGAGTCCATCTGTGACATCTCCAAAAACTTCAGAGATTTACTCAAATCTACATCAACTTGAAGACTGTTATTTTGCACATCTAGGTGTCAGGGTTTCTTCCGGGATTTATCCCAGATCCAGGCTCCTCTCAAGAGTATGCTCTTCCGTCCTACTTAAGAACAAGCACCTACTATTAGTTCCCATTCTTGGACTGGGAAAGAGAGGGATTACATACATACACACAGTGCCACGCAGAGGGTTCCAGGGAGAGAAGGGAGAGAAGGGAGGGTTGCAGCGATTCTAGTTGAGCAAAGCTGGTCTGGTAAGTGTAATGGGACAGAGTCTTTGCATGCCCTTCCAGCAGCGACTATAGCATGACAGGGAAAATACATGAGAGGGGATTAAAGGGGGAAATGTATTTCTACCCCTATCAACTTTATCTCACAGGACTCAGGCAAGGGCCCAACGTGAATTGCCCTCAAGCCGTGTGAACATCTGCAGGTACATCAGGTAACGCTTTAGAAGTGCTAACACTGCACATGCAGTTCCCAAGGACACTCCCCTCCTGCTAATTTTCACACAGCAAAACTATGCGAAAATTAGATTCCCAGCTGTTCTTCGATAGATTTTAATCAAAGATCTGTTTCCCTTTTTGCCATGAAACTGTAGCCTCGCCAAACAGCCGTGGCCAGAGCGGGGCTGCCACTGAGCCTCGGGGAGCGGCAAGCCCTGATGTGGGAAGCTGGAATTCCAGGAGTTGAGATCCTACCTTCAAAACTGCCCTCGAGGCCTGCAGTGAGATTAGCCCAGAACTCTGAGGCATGAAGAATGACGGCTGAAGGCGAAGCTTCCAGTGTTTGATACCCCAGGCTTGAAATCAGCTCAGCCATTTTCTGTGTGACCCTTGACAAGTTACTTAGCCTTTTTTGAGTTTTTGATACCTCTTTTATAAAATGACTCACTCTCTCACTGTATACAAGTCTCTTCTCAAATGTCTGCTCCTAAGAGAAGCCCTTCTAGACCACTCAGAAATGGTACTTCCTGCCACTCTCCATCCCCTCGTCTAGCTTTCGATGCCTCCTGGCATTTGTTACTCTCTATATTCTGATAGTATTTGTTCGTTGTCCTCCATTAGTAGGGAAGCTCCAAGAAAACAAGGTCTTTGTCTCACTCACTCTAGAAAAGTTGCCAGCACATATTAGGAACTCAGTAAATACTTGCTGAATGCCTGAATGGGAATAGTGATTGTACCCATCATCAGATTGCTATGGGGATTAAACACACAAAAATTGTTTAGCATAAGGGCTTCCCTGGTGGCGCAGTGGTTGAGAGTCCGCCTGCCGATGCAGGGGACACGGGTTTGTGCCCCGGTCCGGGAAGGTCCCACGTGCCGCGGAGTGGCTGCGCCCGTGAGCCATGGCCGCTGAGCCTGCGCGTCTGGAGCCTGTGCTCCGCAACGGGAGAGGCCACAGCAGGGAGAGGCCCGCGTACCGCAAAAAAAAAAAAAAAATTGTTTAGCATATTGCTTAGCATATTAGAAGCTCACAGTGTATGATAACTAGAAGTTTTAATAACACTAATAATAAACATTCCATCCCTAGAGTCATTTTTTAAAAATCAGTAGTGGCAATATGACTTTATGTAGTCCTGTTTTACATTCTTTAATGAATAACCCAGCTTCTCCCAAAAAAGGATTTTAGGTAGTTTACAAAAATATGTAAAACTAGCTGTACCAACGTAAGTTATATCATTCTGGAATATTTTTACAGTTGTCGATACATTTTTAATGTGTTTTATTTGCTTACTCATATATTTCACGGCAAACACAATTAACAATCTCATTCTTCTCATACACAACACTTAATGAGACTAGTGATCAAACTTTAGAGAAAGAGGCATTCAGTTGTCCCCAACAAATACATGCAGTGGTCTGGTCTCTGCCCCACTGTGCGAGCACCCTTGCTGAGCTGCGCTCATTCTCTGTCCTGCCAGCTTCGCATCTCCATCTGAGGAAAGCAGCTCTTATAAAATACAATAGGTGTCAATGAATGTTCTGGAATACAGTTTCCCACAATGACAGTATTTAATGACTCTCCACTATGGTGTACTGCAAAGCTCACAGCTGTAACCTGTTTCCTGTTTTTCCCTTCCATTCCCTTTACAGTGTGTAGATCTTTGTGTTCAGTGTTCCCATGTGGTTAGTTCTATAGAGTTTCACTCGTCTTCTCATTTCCATTTATTCTTCTCATTCCGCAGTGGCCTCTATCCATATGTGTCATCTTGATCTCTGCTTTACTACCACATTTGCTGTTCTTATAAGGCTCCCAGAGTCTTTAGACGTGATTTAGTTCTTTTTACACTTCTTGAATTATTAGATTAAGCAAATATATGTCAAAAATTCATAAAATTCCTTAATTAAATTAATAAAGGCTCAGATAGGAGCCTTTGATTTAACTGATAAATCTTCAGAAATGTGTTTACTTTTTCGTAAACAATTTTGTACCTGGTATTATCCAAGACAGATGACACGTTGAATATTATACATTGTAGAAATTCTAAGCTTAACTCAAATTAGCTCAATAAAGCCTCAGAAACACGTATTGTTTATAAATGGACCTAATCTGAATCTTCACTATTATAGTTTATAACAGGCTTGCTTTCTACATATCACCAGAAGTTTGCACCAGTTGAAGTGGTCAAGAGAAAACTTCATCCGGCTGAACCTTGGGAAAACACTCTAGCATTAAATATTCAAGAAAGATTCCAGAATAGAAACAAAAACATGAGAAGAAATCACCAAGATGAGGAAATCAGGAAAAGATAATCAGATAAAGCAAAGGGTAAAATAATTCATAACAAACAGATACCATATTTTTCTGCGTACTTGCTAAAGTCGAGCCTCAGCCACACATCTGGCTGTAATGGGCAGAGCAAAAAGGAAAACATATTTGCTTATGAGACTCACAAACTGTCTGTTCACTCAGGAGAGTCACAGGTCTTCCTAGCAATGAAATCTTAGAAAAAATTTCCCTTGTGGGTCTTAATGGAGGGGATAATGTGTAAGGGAGTGAATTACTTCCTCAGCAAGCCCCTATACTAAATACCATGGAGAATTAAACAGGAGTGCTTCTCACAGCATCCACAGCAGCAGTAAATGTCATTACCCACAAGGCCGCTCACAAAAAGTGGTCCATGAGGAGTCGAGACAGTGGTGTCCCAGGATGCACCTCTCAATTCAGGAATAACTTTTAGAATTTTTTAAAATAATAGACTTTTTTGTTCATTCAGTAAATATTTATTGAGTATTTTATGGGTCAGGTACCATGCTGGGCATTAGCGAGGAAGTACTGACAAGACAAACATCGTCCCTTCCTTCAGAAAGTAACATACTTAAAAAAAAAAAAAAAAGAAAGTAACATACTTGTTGGAAAGATAGACCAACAACTACAAAACGTTGAGATGTGTGCAAGATGAGAGGACATCCAAACTCTGGATTTTCAGCGCCTTGACCTTCTCATCTCCAGTTGCTTTTTCTCCACTTTACTACAGCCGATCTAGTCTTACTACCACACACTACCTGGTTATTACTGCAATCAGCACCATCTCCAAATCTGCTTCTGAAAACCCGATCTCTAACTCACACCTCCTCATGATTTTTTAACCTCACTGACATCCCCAAACCATCAGCCATGTTCTCATTACCCACCAGTCAGTCCCCTCTTCTTATTTTCTTTCTTATTCATTTAGGTCACATAGTCTATAATTTATAATCACCTCCTTGAAAATTTCCTCTCCTCCTTTATACCTCTCTCGTCTGTCAACACTTGCTTGGAAAAAAACATGCCTGATGGAGTCCAGTTTATCCACACTTGCATTTTAAAACTAGAATATTACTGGAGGATAAACATACACACAAAATACAGGTGAACAGTTTCACTTTAAATTCATGATCAAAAACCTGAATAAAACACTCAACACTCCTCTTATGTTTGCCTGGTAAATTAGCTTTTCCAATATCATGAAGATTATTTCATATCGTCTACAGTTTCTCTTCTCAAACCTTCCTCAAATATGAATTAAACATGATTTTTAAAATATTCTTTATGACTAAAAAATAGAAACCATCAGATAAGAATTTATGTATCCTCTTCCCCACCTAATCTGTGAATCTATATCCATCTTCTCCATTTCTCTTGTTTCAATGGAGGAAGCAGAGCTTCTCCAACAAAAGCCCATCTACCCTCTGGAGCTCTGGAACCCTAACCCCAGCACCTTCTCAAGGGTTCCCTTCTCTTTGCTGCATTTTCAATTCGTGCTTGTTTTTGGATCATCCCCATCAATGTACAAACATGCTAAAGAATGTCCCATGGTAAAAACAGACAAACAGAACCCCAGTTCCCTCATCCAATATTCCCGTCCAGCTCCTCAATTTCTCTTTCACACACAGTCAAAAACCCTCTGCTTTTTTCCTTCTCATGGTTTATTCCAGCTTTATTTCTACCCATAGGACTCCAGTGAAACTTCCCTCTTAAAATCACCCATGATCTCTCTGCTCTGTGTTTTGTATTTCACCTTAACCTCTAACCAGTCCTCAGTGAAAACTGCCCATCTTCTGCTCTGGGAATACCACATTCCTTTGGATTTTTCCTCTTGCCTCAGTGACCCTCTTTCTGAAACTCACCTGTTGGCTCCTCTTCCTCTACCAGGCTGCACCTCTGAGCTATGCACTCCTATATTCAACTGCCCACTTGACACACAGGTGTTGGAAGGACAGCTGGTGGCGAGAGAGATGATACCCTTGTCAGGAGGCTACTTACAGAAGTCTGGGCAACAGATGATGGTAGCAATGGATATGGAAAGGAGTGTGTTGACCCAAGAGATGTTCAGGAGAAAGAGTTATCTGGACTTGGTGATTGATAGAGGTGGCAGGGGATGGGAGAAGTAGGAATCATGGATGACAACCAGGGCAGTATCTTTCACTAAGATTAAGTTGGAAGGAAAATGGGTTGCATACAATGCAACCTTTAGAAATTTTCCAAAAACCTGCCCATGGAATCAGTGGTATTCATTGCTTCAAGAAAAGGGTACACACAGTCTAAAACAAAGGAGTTATTCCTTTACTTTGAGTTTCAAATTCAATCTGTTTTTTTCTATCCATAGACGACAACATTTTTGAAAGCCAAGATTTGTTGAAGGAGAAAGGCATTTTCTCAAATCTAAAACTCACTGTTCATATATCAAGGGTAAAGTTTGGAGTTCTGAGCATAAAACTCTACCAAGCTATCAGGTAGGCTAGGGCCTGTCACAGGTAGGGTTCTTTGAAGCTGTCATTTAGATGGAGTTTGGGTTATAAGATGTTTACTGGGGCTCAGCACCCGTGAGAGGAAAGGGAGGAAGCAGGATTTGGAAGTTGAAGAAGTTGAACTTCAAGGCAGGTCCAATGAAGCCTTGCTCCAACCAGTGGGGAGCTCTGAAATGAGCACTGCTTGTCAGACTGGTCTGCTTGGGACTCAAATGGCTGGGCTTCTACACCCCTGCCTTACTTAGACGTGGGCTGCCCTGGGAACGGTGTGATCTCAGGTGAGGAGACTCTGCAGCTCAGGCAGTCCCTGAAGGGGCTAAGCTGGAGGCCATCTGCTGACAGCACCCCCCATGCTGGGGCAACAAGTCCTCCCTTGAGGGGTATCTGGGAGGTACACATCCATGTCTCCTACAGGGAACTTCTGGTTTGGGGAAGAACTGGAAAAAGCAGGAGAGAAGGGCAAGAGGTGAAATATGTGTGTCCTTAGGTTCTAGAAAAAAGTAACATAGTTCTAGTTCTTTGGGAATATCCAGCCAAAGACACAGCAGACTGAGTAGCCCCGCAGTCTGGAAAGCGAGCGTCCTTTTCACAGAGACTTGTGCCAACCATGCCTGCAGGACTTAACAAAGAATGACCACAGTCACAGTACCAACAACAACCCTGGCCTGCATGGGCATGGAGCACAAGCTACTGGCATGACAGTGGTCAATCCTCTTGGTCAACTCCCCTGCTTCTCCTCTAGCTCCATACCCTCCACGACAACAAAAGTGGCAGAGCTGTGACCACTTCCACCTCTACTTGCTAAGGAAGGACTTCGAAGCACATGAGGTGATGTGTATAGCCTATCCCAGTATGGAGAGAAATACAGAGCACTTACTGGAGTTCCCTCTTCAAGACCAGATTCTCTTATGTTCCGTCCTTATGAGCTCTAGGGCTCTTGAGTTCCAAGCCTAGGGGAGAAACTCTAAGCCCAGCAAATTTGGAAGAATCCCTGATGAATGCCTTTGAACCAATTATTTAGAGTAAAGGAGGCATCCTTCTCCCTACATAGGGGTGGCAGCCTTCACAGAGCAGACTAAGGAAAAATGATGATGCTAGCTCAAACCCTGAGGGGGTTTATTATATTAAAGTGAAGAAACTAAAGCTCCTCACTCCAGCACGTTTGAGTCAGGGTCCCCCCTCCTCTTGTCTCACTTGCCACCCCATCAGAACACCCCAATGAAATAGAGCTAGAAGAGAAAACGACAAAGCCGGGTTGAGGCAGGCCCTTTTCCAGATCACTCATTAAACCACCAAGTACTGAAACACTTCGGAAGGCTTTTCTATCTAAACTCTGAGAACAAAGACAGAGTAAGGCCAGCACAAATGAAGTGGGTGGAACAAGGATCAAAATGCAGGCTAAAAGCAAAATTCCATTTTTTGGTAAATATAGCTAATGAAAATCCCTTATCTATTTATTTTTTCCGCAGCTCATGGCCTGCCCAGTGCATTCAATTTCACTGAGCACTAAACACTCTGCCAAGTTCTGGTGACATAGAACATGCTCTCATGGAGTTACAGTGCAGAGGGAAAGGGGATGAATATTTATGTTCTATGTCTGTAATCCCACAGCCTAAAAAGCATGTGGTATCATCCCCATTTATTGAGTTTCAAAAAGAATGGAGGAGGGAGCTTTAACCCAGGTTTAGCTAATTCTAAAATTATTTCCACTCTAAAACGTTTTTTATTTTAAATCATATTTGATCTGCAAAACGCGAAGCCCCCCCCCCCATTAGTATTCAGAGAATTGGAATACGCCCTCCAGGAAAAGAAAAAAAAATACAATTTTTGAGAAAACTTTGAAGGCCTTCTAGGAATTCAAAATGTTTTAAATAACTTTCACCGAGTTGGACCCACACAGCAGTGAATGAGACCAATCTGAACTGGGTTGGAAACTGGAACTGTTCAGTCATACTCTCAGCCAGTGCTTGACCCTGGGCTTTTGCTGATAAACTCACTAAGGATGAGGATGTGAGAAAACTGGCAGGTACCTCTGGAATATGTGAACCATTGAGCAGGCTGCTGCTCACTCACAGCCATGGCTATGGCCCCAGCTAGCAACTTCTATGATGGTTAGAGATAAAAAATGAGGGCGCTCAGCAGACTGAGCTGAAAGCTCCCTGTCACGAGGATTCCCAGGCTACTCTCTTAGGAAAGCAGCCTGAGGGAGAGCCACTCATGGGCCAGCAGCAGCTGAGGCACAGAGGGCTCCCTATGACCATGCACTTACAGGCAACACTCACTGCACCCCAGCTCTCTCAGGCTGTGCTTAACATGGTGACAATCAATCACTCATCTCATTAAGGGGCGCCCATGGGGCTTGAGCCCTGCCTGTTTAAATAGGAAAAAGCAATGGCAAAGTATGTGCCCTCTTCTCTAGGTATATTATATATTTTAACAAAAAGTTAAAAAATAAAAAGGTAATAATGACAAGCTGGAGTCAGAGCCTGGGACTAGCCTTAGCCACCTGCTTCCTTTCCCTTCCTGTCTTCACAGTAGTTGGGGCAGCCTACAAAAACCTTCATTTCAGGGTTGGGGTGCAGATAATAAAAGGCAGGGGCTGACCACCATTCCTAGCTCTCATCCCATGAAGGAAAGTCGAAATCTCTTTTCAAATGACTGATTTCACAGGGTTCCTCATTGTAGATTTTCCATATTCCCTCCAACAGGAAGTTGGAAAGCGCAACCGTGTTTGGAGCACCAGCAGGTGGAGCTGGAGAGCTGACTGAGCCCCCTTGGTTAGGGGACACTTTAGACAAATGCTTGGGGAACTGAGCAGATAGCACTTGGATGGGACAAAAGGATCAACTTATAGAAGATGCTGTGTATTCTTATCCTGTGGACGTTGTCAAGGAAAAATCATTGTGGAATTCCTTATTTCATTCATTCATTCATTCATTCATTCATTCAACAATAGTTAGTAGATGCCCATCACATGCCCAACACTGTGTTGAACACTGGAAATGCAGGACGAAATTAGATAGGCACAGTTTCGCCCTCATGGCAATTACATTCTGAAGAACTGGCTTTAGCTTAGCAGGTAAGGACGTTCCTGCACTTTAGCATTAGACAGACCTTTGTCTGCATGCTGGCTCTGACATTTAGTTGGAACTATGTAACCTTAGATCTTAGGCAATTGACTCAATCTATCATCCATAAAACAGGGGTAGAAGTATCCATCCCAGTAGTTCTCAACAATCCTAGAATCACCTGGGAAATTTTTAAAAATATCCCTGCCTAAGCCACTCCCTAGATTTTGATTCAATTGATCTGGGTAAGCGTCAAATCATCAATAATTTTAAAAGCCACAGATACTTCTACTGAGCAGCCAGTGAAAACTACTCCTCTATCCTTTAGGGTTAGTGGGAGAATTACACTGAATAGTGCACATGAATACCTCATGCTTAGTAAACATAACTTTACTGTTAGCTTTGATTCCAAACATAGAAGAAGCTAACTCAGCAGAGGTCCACGTATCTGGGAGAAGACTGTGAAGGTGAAGCTGGTCAGTGTGCAAGGAAGACCTGAACAAGATGATTTTGACAGTTTTACTCCTCAAAAGAAAAAACCGACTACCAGTCTATACCTTGACCTCAACTCAATAACCATCTCTGCACTGATTTTAACAGGTTAGCTTACTTGGCTATTTCAACAGATGGCTTGTTCTGGGCTTCTTTATTTGTTTCTTTATTTTAATTGTCATTGTGAGAACAAACCACAGTTCAGAGTTTAATAATGTTATCAACATGAAAGAACTCAGGGAATATTGTTCCCATGAACCCTTCCAAAGAATCTACTAGAATATAAGATTTGGGCATCAAAATAGCTAGAGAAACATCAACCTAAGAGTGCTGGCAAGCATTAAAAATGTAGTTACTTGTAGTACCAAGACTAGATGAGGGTTAAAGGGAGAAAGAATATATTTAATGACTATATGCTCAGGCAATGCAGATAGGCTATAGCTCTTAGAATAGAAAGCGAATGGAAAGAGCATATGCAAAATCTTAAAACTCTTCTCAGTAATTATATGAGTAGTGGTGGTATCAATACCATTATTTTGAGACTCATATATGTAAATAGCACCAGTAAATGAGTAATTATGAAGCACTGGATATTCTATTGTCCCCTAAGTACTGGGACCCTTGAGAACTGGGACCCTTGAATGAGAAGTACCAGTATGAACTCATGACGTATTCTATCAAGAGGTGTGTGTGTGTGCGTGTGTGTGCATGTGTGTGTGTGTGTGTGTGTGTCTGTGAGACAGAGACAGAGAGAGACAATGACCATGCCTAGCAACCCAGATTCTTAGGTCATGGTCTTGATGTACTTTGCATTTAAAAAAATAAAGAGGCATTTTGGAGAAATGGCTGGTTTGAGGTATAAGATGAGCCTAGAACATCTTTTTATATCAGGTAGTAAGAAAGCTACCAAAACTATTAAGATCATGTCAAAGGCTCTCAGAAGTCAATCTGAAGAGGCTCCCACTGGCTAAAGATGAGACAATTTGAACTTCAGAAAGGATAATAATTACAATTGGAGCCCATCAAATATATTTAAATACCCTAATTCATAATAATTGTTTAAATAGAATTGGTTATTTGGGAAGGAAAAGAGAGCGCCAAACATCTTGAGAAGTGATAAATAAAGAAGAGTCAAGCATATACATTGTCATTGCTACCTAAACTGAGTACCCCTGGGTACCCGCAAAGTGGGTGATAGAAATCACCTTCTTGTAAAATATTCCAAGTAATAAATGAAGAAGAAATTATAGAATAAGAATGCCATTCTTTTGCAAGCTCTAAAGAATTAGTAACAGATTTAGGTAATGAGCATGAACTGCTGCTAAAATCACCACAAAAGAGAGGAGCAGATACCGTGTGCTTTATGAGGGAAAGACCTCACCACCACCTTAGTGGTGCCAAAGGGTAGCCCAGTAGCAGAGCAGATTCTGAGCATGCAGAGCTAGTCTTGCCAAAGGGGCAGTACTGAGTCTGAACAACTTCTGCATCCAGCTGCCAATCAACAAAAATATAGAAAACGGAGGAACACATTGAGCTATACCACAGGACGTAATCAATAAATCAGGACTGTGGGAAACTCTACAGATCAAATGCCCTGGGGTTTTCCAACAGACAAATTATAGGGAAAAGAAAAAGAAGTAGGGGGAACCTATAAACTAAAAGAGACTTAAACGACTTCTTTTACGGCTAAGCTATAGTATCCTTAGCATGCCCCCAATTAGGGATGAGCGATAAACTATTAGAAATATACACACAAGGAGGTGACTGCTATAGAAGCCAGGAGACTGGTTACTCCCAGAGAAAAGGATAAGTTGGGATTGGAGCAAGTGAAAGGATTTCTGGGATGGCTGGCAAGATTTTATTTCTTGACTTGGGGAGTTTATAAGGAAGTCCATCTTATAAAAATAAATAACAACAATAGTAATATAATAACTATACATTTATTTTATGTGGCTTTTTTAATGTTTTATTTTACAATAAAGCTTTTTCAGATTCTTTTGCAAAATGAAGAATAAATGTATAAAGCAAATCTAATTAGCCTCCTAAATTCTCTTTTCTTGGTAAACCTATATTTTATTGGATAGTTTGTTCAGAACAAGTATACTGTGTGTTCTGAGAATGTGTTTTCAAGAATCATTACAGTCTAATCAACAAATGTTTATTAAGTACCTACTATGAGCAAGATTCCACTGGAATTGTTTCATTGTAATTGGCTTATATATTCAGATACTTGCTCTGTTTCCTGGATTAACAACATACATTGCATAAGTATTCACTTTCACTGTGGGTTTGAGTTTTCCTGTCATTTTGTTTGTTTATAATGTTTAGTTCTATTAATTGATTGAACTACTGCATTTTGGAGAGGAAAGGTTCACGAGACATTTCCACTTACACAAAGGTAAGTGGACTCTTCCCTGGGGCTTAGCACTGCTGGCATTGAGGCCAAAGGCCAGTGGTCCAGGGCACCACTTCCTGCAGGTGTCAGCAGCCAGAACTCTGCTTGCTGGGAATCTGCTCTGTTACTGGGCTACACTTTGGTGACTCATCATCCCAGCCTCACAACCACACCACGTATCTGGATAGTCAGTTCCTGGAAATGACGGTTTCAGAGAGGCTTATAATGGGTAGCAATTCCCAGCAAAGCAAAAGAGTGTTTGAGAATTTTTACCAACTCAAGATCACAAACTGACTCCTTTCCACCAGAAAAACGCAGTTTCTAAATTTAAAACTTAGCAAGCACATCAATTTTTATGTTTTTTCTGCAAAGGAACCATGAGAGTTGCAAAACTAAAAAATTCCTCTATGGCCAAGAAGCTTCTATCTTAATCAAAAGTAATACATTAATAATAATAATATAGATGATAGACAATAGATAGGTAACATTGACCATGGGGCAGAGGCTGTTTTAAGCAGATTGCATGCATTCATTTATGTAATCTTCACACAACCCAAATAGAGGGCACTAAAACCTTCCCATTTTACAGAGAGTGAAACAGAGGAGCAGAGAGGTTAAATAACGTGCCCAAGGTCATATAGGTACTAAACAGCAATGCTAGGACTCAAGCCACGTGGTCTGGCTACAGAGCCTGTGCTATTCGCCACATGTTTCTGTACTGCCAGAAGTTCTTAACATCTTGGCAAGCCCAGTAAATGCTAGGGTAGGGAGGATAGTAGTTTATATTTGAACACTCCCTGGCTTGTCCAATTTGCATTTTAGAACCTCTGGCAGAGAGCACAGCTAACCAATGATCAAATAGCCTCCATCCACTACGACTCTTACTAGTTCTTGAAGCTGCCCACTTCTCTCCATCCCCATTGCCACTGCTCTGGTTCAAGCCACCATTTCTCCACTAGATTATTGCAAGAGCCTCCTAATTGGAGAGAGGACGAGAGGCCAAAACAGAAATATAAAAGGGTGACAGCCTAGCCAAAGAATGCACATACACGAGCTCCAGCAAATTCTAGAAGCAAGGGCTGCAGAGAGAGGTGGAAGCAGTTATAAACTCAGGTCCTTAAAAATCTAGAGAGAGTCAAAAGCAGAGCCAGTATGAAGACAATAAATAAAATCACTCTGTAAAGAGCAAGCTGCCTGGATCTGCCCTCGGGGACTGTGGGCCACGGGACTGTCTGCTTCCTCCCTACCTCCTCCAGCCTCTCTGGGGCTTAGGGCTCCTGATCAGAGTAGCTTGGCTGGCTCCAATCACCCTCCCTTGTCCACTGGACTTGCTTTGATGTGCCCTGGGCAGGGCACTGGGCAGGAAGGAGACTCCTCACATGATCCAGCTTAATCCTCCTCTTCTCCCTTCCCAAGGCTGCACGTTGCAGAAAGACCGCTGCAGCAATGCAGACCAAAGGGGGCCCACGGTGGGCAAGAAGGGCCCTGCTTCTCGGCATCCTCTGGGCTACTGCACGCTTGCCTCCCCCAGGTGCCTCCCTGCCCCAACGTCTCCCAAGGGCTACAGGTAGGTGGACGCTGGGGTCAGCTACCCCTGCTGCTGCTACCACATGTGGATAAACAGACAAAGAGAGGGAAATTCTTACTTGACTCACTTTTGCTTATGCTTCCTGCTGTATTTGCTCTGAGTTTTAGCATTTGGTAGGCTATCAAACACTTTTGATCCTTCGAATAAGTTCTCAAAGATAGCTCTGAAATCATTCACAGACGTCATGAAGCAGGAGAGTCTTCAGTTTTTATTGTTGGAGACTTCATCATGGAAAAAGAAATCTTTCATCCTAGAAATTCTCTCTGCAACAGTGGATGATTCTTTGTGGGCCTTGGGCTTTGCGGACAACTTGGGCTCTGAAATGGGAAAATGAAATTGTACAGATATTAGGAATCTCTATCTTCAAAACACAGTTTCTAATTGAGGAGGAAAAGGGGTTCAGAATTCCCTTTTATTAATGAAGCAGGCAAGGAAGACTGATTTCGTTATTTCCTCTTTTTAATTCACCTGCTATCATTATCTTATTTCATTTAAAGCACCTCTTTCAGGTCCCAAAGACTAATTTTCTTTTTAAGGATCTACAATTACATCATATTCAAAAGTGATTTAATCCCACACTTCCTGTTTTTTTAAGGAATTTCTCTTTGTGGGCTTGGAATGTGTGACTCGAACATCCTTCAAATTTTCACCTCCTTTTCCTTACCAGGAAATAGCACCCAATGTGTTATGTCCCCATCTTCGGAGTTTCCTGAAGGGTTTTTCACAAAACAGGAGCGTGCAGATGGAGGCATCATAATCTACTTCCTAATTATCCTTTACATGTTCATGGCCATGTCTATTGTCTGTGATGAGTACTTCCTACCCTCCTTGGAAATCATCAGTGAATGTAAGTAGCTGGAAATCTTCTCTACAACTTTCCAGAACAGTAGTGCCACACACATATACAGCTGTCTTTGGAGTAGCTCCGCAGCAATCCTGTCCATCTCAACTGGCTGCAGAACACTGACTTCTGCGTCGTGGTGTCCTGTACCTTGAGGGACTGGCGTGAGTATGGTTTTTCTTGGTAGTTAATGTGCAGCAGAACATCTTTAAATGAGTACAAAGCAACTATTGTTATACTGCCTATCTCCAGAAACTTGCAGTTTGTCTATCGTACTGCCTAGCTGTTTTTTAGTAAGCTGTTCCACGTTTCATATACATGCACTTGGTATATACCCCTAATACACTGGACTTCTAATACTTGCCATCAAATACTTCAAAAAATTTTTTTCATTTTTACTCTAAAATCTCTGTACCTTTTTTAAAGGTAGGTGATAAACAAATACCTTTAAGGACCGCCCTCCTCCCTCTTCCTTTCCCAGCCTCCTACCAGTAAGGAAACTAATTCATGTTTATGAACCAATAAATAAATAAATAAGTCCTGCATTTTATGTAAAGTGCCCTTTGGCATCAGGTAATTAAACATTAAGCTCAGTTACTGGTTTCTGGAAATAGGATCTGCCAAGCCCCTCAGTTCTACCCCTTCAATCATGTATATCGCCCAGAATTCTGAGCACAGACCTTACATTAGCACACTGGTCCCTAAAATCAGGATATCAGTGATGTTTTATGGCAAATAAGCAAAAGTGCCAGCGTTTCCAGTCTGTGTCTCCTGCTTAATTAGTTTAATTGGTTGAGCATGCTCACTTCAGGGAAGGTCAAAGTTAAGGGTTAGATTTCCCACTGCGTACTCCCAGGACTGCACAGAAATAGCATCCCCCGGCCACACACACACACACACACACACACACACACACACACACACACACTCTGCTAGCATTTCTTCACAGGGAAAGAGCATGAATGTAAACTCTCCCTTCCTCCCTTTTCTCATGGTCCCATCCCCCACCCCTGCTGAAATACAAGTCATTTTCTCTCTTGTAACAGTGCAGTACAGCAGTATCCTTAGGACTTAAAACAGGATCTGGCAATAGCAGAGGCACTCAACACCTATTTCTCTAATGAAAAATAATTATAGAACAGGTCAGCATAAGTTTATTATAATTATTATTTAACTTATACATATAGTTTCACATTGATACTACACTTGACATTGACATTGATAGTTTTCCTTAATAGAAAGTAAATTACTTTAACATAATACTTTTACTTAGACTGATGAAATGCAAGCAGAATAGAAGAAAAAACAAATTCCTCTACATTTCTATCACCCAGAGACCCCCACAGTTATCATTTGGTGTACTTCCTTTCAGTCTTTTAGATCTTGCTACATATACAATTTGAGGTCGTTTCCTTTTACTAAGATAATATTTAATCACGTGCATTTCCCTATATTATTGAATACCCTTCAAAAACATGACTTTTCATGGCAGCACAATAGTTCCTGATTCTGGAAACGATATGAGCACCTAACACTGGTTTTTATACATAATCAGCACCCAGTAGAAATTTATCACAATTTTTAAAATTATTAATCTTACTAGACATTTGAGTTTTAATTTTTTGTTCTAAATGATGTTATGCCCATACTTGTATCACATCTTTGCAAACTTCTCTGATCATTTCCTGATAAAGATACAGAGCTATGCATATTTTAAGCTTTATATTATACATTTCCAAAAGCGTTTCACAAAGGGTGTGCCAACGAAAACCTCCACAATGTGTGGTAGCTTCCATTCCAGAAAACCATGAATAATACCTTTTTTTAAAATAATTCTTATTGGGATCATTTTAAATGTCTTTGTTAATTGCTTTCAAATGGAAGTTATTTTATAAAATTTGTATTTATGAGGTTGAAAATTTTATATGTGTATTAAAATTTCTGGTTTTGCTTTTGTGTTTTTTGCCCATGTTCTAATACGGGAGTATTTGTTTTTACTTACTGATTTCCAAGATTTTTTTTAATATAAGGGTATTAACTCTTTCTAATATAATTTTTATATGATATACTTTTTATGGTTTGTTTGGTTTTGTATTTTATGTGTTTATCACATTGAAGTGTACATATTTTTAAGTAAATTTACAAATATTTTCCTTATGACTCCCCTTTTGGTTTTATACCTAGAAATACCTTTTTATCCCTAGGTCAGAAAAATTGTCATCTTTTCTTCTACTTATAGTTTCTTTTTTTTTTTTTACATTTATTTATTTATTTATATTTAATATTTTTATTTCTTCCACCAAGAATTTGTTTTGCTATAGGATACAATGCTATTTTTTCCAAAAGTTGATCCATTTTCTATACTCTCAACTCTATACTCTATTCTAATGATCTATTTGTTCATGTTTGTGCCAGTACCACACTTCTCATTAGAAAAACTAAATCATATTAATTATATAAAATTAAGAAATTAAAAATTCAAGGTACCATATCCCCACTTAGAATCCTTCTCTTCCTGGAAAACAAACAAACAAAAAAATCACTTTTGTTTTGCTTGTTTTTCATTTTCACATTTCCAAACAATGACTTGACTGAAAGAATAAATCCATCAAGAATTTTTTAAATAGAAACCTGTCTTGGGAGTGGTAAATAAACAGATAACTTTCTAGCCCTGCAGAAGAAACTACTGCATTAAAATTTAGATTGCTACTTCAAAATAATCTTCATTAAGCAACTTCATAAAATATCTATAATAATGACTTCCACCATGCCATTTGTGGAATTACTTTGGAACATCATCAGCAAACATTCATTTCTCAAGTGAATCGCTCTTTGCTCTGAAGTGTAACACAGTAGCTATTATGGATGTGTGATTGATGCATGCCCGCATCACTGCCAAATCTTCAGCTGCTAAGAACTGATCCCGGTCTTCAGCATTGAAAATGCTGGCAATGAAATGAAATTGAAATAGTGCTAGCTGGATTCATTTTTAAATGCCCCTAAATTAATTCTGTCGTTTCTCTTTCCAAGGTCTTAGTATGGTCTTGTCCAAATTAGGACATCAGCAATAAAAAACAATTTCTCTGGAATTTCTTTACATCCACAGAAACTAACTTCAGAAAGTCTGCAAACGCTTTACATTTCCCCATAGTTCTTTGACAAGCTATAATAGTCCCACCCAACTAATAAGTATTAATATAATCCTCCAAACAATTTACAGAGCATTCTACAATGTACTGGAATGCTATTAACTATTTATATATTTATATTTATCATAAAACAATTATAGAAGACCAAGCATGGTTCTAAATTAAACATATATGATTATATTTAGTCTTCACATAAACCCTATAAAGTAGGGACTATTAGATTGGTTTTACTAATGAAAAAACTGAGGCTGAGAGAATATATAATTTCTCAAGACTACACAGCCAGTACACAGGAGAGCCCTGGTTTCTCTAATGCCAAAACCCAAGAATGTTTTCAATTGCTGTGTGGTATAATTTTACACGTCCTTGTTTGAGATTAGCTGCCGTAATATGGTTGTTTCAGAAGAACTGTTCTTTCTGAACAATTTTAAAAGGTATTTTTTTTTTCTCCCAAGGGCACTGAAAATTTTGACCACAAAAATACATCAAATGCTCATTGTAACTACAGAGGAAGTATACTACAAAATAATGAGAATCCACCAAGTCACTTAAAAAAATCAGTTAAGAATTTTAGCAACCTACTGGGGGCTGTAAATTAATGTTATAAATGGTAACCTGCAATAATGAGACTCTGAGAACTGAGCATTTTGTCTATGATGTACATGAAATCAGAAGTGCGGTACTGTGGAACCGAACCATCATGTATAACGCAATGACTTTCTATGGAGTACATGTCTGAGTCCCAACCTAGGATACAATGGTTGAATTGGCACACCCCCGGCCCACCCCAGCCCCATCACCCCAGGAACCCCTCCTCCAATCACTAACGGTGGTTCATTTGGTTAGCACAAGGGTCCTCAGCAAGGTGAAGCCTAGAAAAGGCTCAGGACTGGAGTCTCCATGCAGGGGATAAGTTGGAAGTGGTGGAGGGCAGAGCCTCTTGCTGATGCCCTGGCCAGGCCCTGAGAACTCAGGCAAGTGTAGCTGTCTCTGTCTGTAGCTATATATGCTGGTCTGTCAATTACCATTAGAACCACCACCACTTGAGGCTTTCAACAAGGATCTTTCCCTTTCTTGCTCAACTCATGACCATCAAAGTCACACAACCTCTCCTCCCCACCTCAAAACTGGAAAAGCAAGCACATACCCTGAGACATTTCGATGTCATCGTAACTATGTAGAACCAATACAAGAAAATGTTGTTGCTATACCCCCTTCCTCTAATCCTATTTTCTCTTTTATCCATTTAAGTTCTAAAGGAAAAGAGACTAGAGATGATTCTTTGAACACATTTATATATAATATAAACTATATTAACTTGTAGCCCAAATAGTAGGACTATTACCTCTCATCTTTATAAGCAGTTCATTTTTAGAAACACAAAAGTTCAGTATAAAGTCAAAACAAATCCTTTTTATGTATTGTTTTAACATGTAATGGGGATCTCCTAGAGTTATTTAACCACTGTTTAAATCGCCTTTCTTTAACTTTTCCTAAGCTAACTAGAGAGAAACATGAGAACCCCTAGTGACTGGTCACTTGATATAGCCCAAAGTCCACAATGAGCTAGTTATGGAACTTTTCTTTTTAAATGTTACACTAATACGCTATTCAGTTAGTAGTTCTAATCCCTCCACCATGTTGATCCTTTGAAGTATAACATGTCTTAAGTGAAAATGATCTTAGTAAGGTTTTCAGAAACATACTTAAAATATTTACTTTTTTATTAAAAAATTATTCTTATTCACTCTGCTTTGAGCTAATATTTGCCCATGTTCTACTTTATGTTTCAGAAATAGACAATAAGAAAGAAAGGCAAGTTTTAATTCCAGGTAGAATTCATTCTAAATTGATAAAATTGAAAGGGAGTGGAATAATTCTGTGAGTATGGCATTTGGATAGCGGACAGTTTCAGGGGATTGTTTGATTCTTAATCCTTATGAAATTTACAGAGGCAAAGCCTTTCCAAAGAACAAAGAATCTAAGAATAGCACTTCCTCCCTGCCACACAGGCACTCATTCTCCTCTTAAGAGCATTTTCATCCTCTTTGTTTTTCTTCTCCCTCTGATCTAAACTAATCTAAATTTAAAATATAAATAAATACATTGTGGTCACCTTGGATTGCATCTAAATCTACCCCAGGTATATGGATCTAAATAAGTGCTAAGTGGTCTGGATATTACCAAGATGCTATTCAGGCAGGCAATGATGATGATGATGATGATAAAGCTACGTATTAATCTCTTCACTTACATGGGTAACAGAAAGAGCAGCTTTTTAAATTCAAAAAGGTCTAGCTGCCCATCCCATCTCTGCAACTACTAACCTATGTGACTTTGGGCAAGTTATGGAGACAAAACTCAGGTAATTGTGAGCTTTGGAGATAAAATGTCTTACATATGCTTTATATGATAGACTTAGGGCAAGTGGAAATTAATTAATATTAAAGCTGTTAGATTAGGCCATGGGGGAGTCTTTCTTTTTCAGCGGAATCAGGCCTTTCAAAACATTATACAGAGTTTCAGAATTTATTCCGTTATAGCTCAGACACAATATGAGATGATAACTCTAAAGTACTTCAAATGTTTTTATTTACTGTTAAAAGCACCACAGAGATATACGTGCAGTTGTACGTTGAGGGGCTAGGCATTTATTTCAATGATGTCACTCAAAACAGTTCTAGAATATATTTGGAATTAGTATCAGAACCAATTTTGCAAATCATAAAAGACATTGGTTTGCTGTCATACTTCATTTTGAATAGAATTACTCAGCATGACTACCCACCCTAGTCACTAGAGTTGGGTCTGAATGACTTGTAATTGCTTCCAAAATTCAAATCCATTCACAAGGCATGAAAATTTGCTATCACTGAGGACTTTACAAAATTGTGCCAGAAGACACCAAATTGCTTATAGCCTTCTCTTGTAACTCTATTAAACGCACATTGTGAAAAGAACTGGAAATACATAAAGAACGGTAGCAGTGGTTAAAATACAATGTTAAAATTATAAATGATCCTCCCCATTGTTTTCTCCTCCATTTTCTAAATTTTCAGCAGCAAAGGGGATTTTTATTTATAAAAGGAATTGATTTAACAGTAAGAAGCAGTACAGAGGCTTAAGGCATAGAATTCATATTTTATATTTTTTGTAAAAATTGATAATATTAGAAGATACCTAAATATTGTGTAGTCCAACCCTCCATTTTACAGATGGCAAAATACAAGACTTGTCTGAATGACTTATCTAAAGTCTCACATCAAGGTAGTGGCAAGGCCAGAAGCCAGGTCCCCATTTTAGTTTAAAACTCTTTCTACTATATTTCCAGAAGAGGATTTTCAAAAACCGTTATAAACTTTCCAACATGGTATCAGAGAAGAGAACATGCTTAAGAAAAAGTCTGATGAGTTCCAGTAATCAGTTCATTATCAGAAAGTTGCACTTTATATAAACAATGTAATATCTAAACCTATAAAGAAAACTCACCTTGAACATTTCTAGTATATCCTGAAGGAAATATGATTATTCCTTTAGAGTAATAGAAAGGGAAAAAAGTAATAGCTCTTGGGAGAGGGGGGAAACCAGAACAATTTATCTTTAATAATAAACTACAGCAGAGAGAAATGCTACCCAAGGGTCAGTGAAGACAAAGCCAGTCGATTCTAAAGTTCAAAGGTATAAACCATTTTATAAAATATGCTCAGAACCTTAAGATATAACTTGTTAAAATATCTTTGAAGTTTTACACATCCATCTGTACAGAACCTTTCTTTTCATAACTCAAATAGAGCCCAGTGAATAGCAACAAGCTTTATTGTTACTGCCTTTTGAGAGTGAAAGCGCTCAAAAGGGTCACCTATTTTCCTACCTTGCAACAGCCGGATGGATCACCCTTTCTCTCTCAAGACTGAATTTTTCTAATGAAGCATTCTTCAGCCAGCATTAAATGAAGATTGGCCATTCACACTTCAGCTGCCCTGAGTTTAGGCAGTTACTTCAAGATAAAGCACTTTGTTCTTTTTCAATTTCCTCCACATATTATCGAGCCCTGGTTTGATTTGAGAAGAGAATTCATGGTAATATCACTAAATTTATACATTCTCTGGAATATGCTGGAAAACATCCAAATTATTCCTGACTCCCATTAGCTATTTTTCCCCTGGCAAGGAATGGAACAGTGGTAGTTATGTACCAGTGCCATGAGGCAGGAAAGAAAATGACTCAATTGTCCCCCATAATTGGCCTAAGTGCCATTCTTATATTATATTGAGTTTCTGTGATGAAACAGAAATAGCACTGGGTTTAGAAGCAATAGACTTGTGGTTTATGCCCTAATTCCTCACATTTAAGATCCTTGCTCTCCATGTAACTTTTAGTTACTTAACCTTCTGGACCTGTTTCTTCATCTGTAAAATGGAAATACCACCACTCACATCTGAGGATAGCTGAGATGATTAAATTATGTACATGGTAGTGAACTGTATACCATGAATGTAAGATATTATTTACTTTATACATAAAATGAAAAAGTTAAGAACAATATGCTTCATTTTAAGTTTCATGGCCAATTGGTCCTACTACGTATCAGAGTTGTAGTAAGAGTATAAAGACGATATACTATATATATACTACATATTTATATGTAAAATTACTCTAACCAGTAAAAGAAATGCTATGAAATGTCACTTACATAAATTATTACTTCTCTCCCTTCATTAGTCACCACAAGTAGATGTTCATCAAGCAAGATGACCAAAGGAAAATAGTAAGGAATAGAATAGAGAGCCTGGATTAGATAATTCCGACTATCCTGAGAGGATTTTTCACAATGGAGGCTTAACAGGTGGCCCAACAAGCTGGTTGGGCCTCTGAGACCAGGTAGTCTCATGGGGATAAAAAAGATGACTGCGGCTGGTATTACCAGCAAGCAATATTGTGGATGTCTTTCCAAGCACTTCCCATATTCTTCACAATAAAAGCCCAAGTCCTTGCTAGGATCCACAAGGCCTTACATGATCTAGCCACCTATTACCTTTGACCTCATCATCTACAGCTCTCCTTCACACACTTTATTCCAGACACTCCAGTCTTTTTCTGTTTCTTGAACACGCAGGCTAGCTTCTACCTCAAATCCTTTGCACTCACTCCATCTGCCTAGAATACTCCTGGGTCTATGTGAGGTTAGCTCCCTCACTTTGAAGTCTTTGTTAAGTTACCATCTCAGTGAAGTCCTTTCTGGTTACCCAATCTAAAATTACAATCTTTTCTCCATGACATTTTATATCCCCCCACCCTGCTTTTGCTCCTAACATAATACATAGTTTTCTTATCCTGTCTGTTCTCACTATAATTAAATTCCAGAAGATGAGAAACATTTGTCTGTTTTGTTACTGCCACATTCCTATCACATAAAAAAAGCATCTGGCATACTAGGTAGTCAACAAATAACAAATAAATGAACAATAGTCAGGTGTTCCAGTTATCTACGGCCGCTTAACAAATCACCCCAAAACTATTAGCTTAAAAGAACAATCATTTCATACCTCTCACAGCTTTGGGGGTTTACTGGCCTCAGCTGAGTGGTTCTTGCTTGAGGTCTCTCATGCAGTTATAGTAAGAAGAGAGGACTAGAATTATCTGAAAACTCCCTCCTTCACATGTCTGGTGCCTGGGATGGGAAGATTCAAAACTGGGGGGCTGAACCAGCCGGGGTTCCTCAGGGATCTCTATTTCTATGTGGGCTCTTCACAAGGTCTTTCCAGTATGGTAGTCAGGGTTTTTATGCGATCACTTAGGGCTCTGAAGCAAATGTTCCTAGAGAGAGAAAATCATGAGAGTTTTGTCACCTTTTATGTCCTAGCTTCAGAAATATTATGGCTCCGCCATACTGTTAGTCAAAGCAGTCACAAAGGCTCATCTAGGCTCAGATGACGTAAACATAAACTCCACCTTATTTTTTGTTTTGTTTTTGGTTTTTTGATAGGGAATGGAGAAGTTCTGGAAAATCATGTGGGCAGAAATATCGTAGCTATTTTTGTTTTGTTGTCACACCACCAACAACAGAAGGAATCAATAATGTCAAAGGTAGATGTCTCAGCAGAGAAGTAGAACCTGATGTGGACCTGAGAGTGAGTGACAGGTAACGGTCCCCACAGGCAAGAATAAGGAAATATTGACCACAGGTGAACGGGACTCAGCAAAGCACACCAGAGTTTGAGAGTCTGGAAAGACTGTGTGTCAAATATCAGTAGATATAGCAAACAATAAACATCAACAAAGGATTTCTAGCAAAGCCTTGGAAACCTGAGTTTTAGTTCTAACTTTGACACTAACTTTCTGACCTAGGGTAAATAATGCCTAGCATGCTGCCTCTATTGTCTATTTTCCAGCTAAAGTTAGTATTAGTGATTTTCTGTGAAGATGTAGCTTTGATATATATATCTATTTAGTTATAAAGACATACTTTCATTTGTCACTTTAACCAGACATAACATAATTTCATTTGTCTTCAGCCTTTGGATTGTCCCAGAATGTTGCAGGTGCAACTTTTATGGCAGCCGGTAGTTCAGCTCCTGAATTGGTTACTGCTTTCCTAGGTAAATATTGCTCCTTATATTTTTTCTTACTCCATGTGATTTGATCTTCTCCAAGTCAATACTAACTGAGCTACTATCATGCTTATAGGTGTATTTATCACAGAGGGTGATATTGGCATTAGCACCATTCTTGGATCTGCAATTTATAATCTCCTTGGCATCTGTGCAGCCTGTGGCTTACTATCTAACGTGGTATGTAAAACAACTTTATTCAACAAAATTTATTGCCTTGACAAATTATAAGAACCGTTCACAGTCTAGAACAAACAAGGCACTAGTAATGCGTTCAATTAAATTTATTAATCGGTAGAAAAACAACATGTATTCAATTTTAAGTTAACCCACAAATACCTCTTGGTCAAATTTATGAAAATCAGACTAGGTTTAGAAACACAATTTATCTTAAAATTCCTTTCTCTATGCAATATGCAAAAGGCAACAATATTTAGCTACAAATATACAAACAATTTTATTATTGCACTAAGCAAGTACTTGAAGAAGTTACAGTGTAATGGAAAACATTAATTATTTTTATAGGTTTCAACGCTATCATGTTGGCCCCTATTCAGAGACTGTGCAGCATACATGATTAGTGTAGCAGCAGTGCTTGCCATAATATTTGACAACCAAGTTTACTGGTAAGCTTGAATAATCATTATTCTTAATGTAAAACAGTTACAGAGAGGAGTTTTATAAAATTCTGATGGTTTAGTAACATTTCTTTTTTTTTCAAAAATGTTATTTCAATCACTTCTCAATTATCCGCCACTTCCGTACATTTTCCCTGTAGGTCTCTGAGCTAACCTCCTCACCACGATTGCTAGTTGGGTCCTTCTCCCTTCTTTGCAATTCTTTAGTCAAGGCAGTCTTTTTTCTATCTAACCACTGGATGTTACCACCTTTCTTTCTCTCCACTGACTTTCTGTTGAGAAGATCTCCCAACTTTTGTTGTCCGTTAAAGCCCCAACAGGTGGCTTCTTCATCTATTGGGTGGTTTACCTTGCCTCCGTTAAAAGTGACCATTGTCACAAGATTGGAGAAGATGACAAAGGAAGTAAAAGAAGTTCCTTTAAATTCCTCCAACTTTCTCCCTGATGTTCATTTAGTAAGAGGAACTATATAGCCTTCTTCCTCTAAAAATCAAAAACGTTTAGGTTTCAATATTAAAAACTATTTGCTTTATAATCTCCCCATGCCTTGCTGTCCCAAGAAAATGAAAAAGGGGGCGACTTAGTGAACAGATAGTAATCGTTTCAGCTAACGAGTAGGTGTTTATCACTACACTAGGAATCTTAACGGATAAAGAAATGTAAAACACAGCCATACGGATTGTACATTGCCCAATGCCAGAGATCACCAGAAAAATAGAAAACACTGTAAATGGCACCCCTCTGGAATACTACAATTTGGCAGTGCTGCATCAATACCTGCTATCAAAAAACTTTAAACCTCGCAGGGAGCAAATTTTTTAGATGAATCATCCTGAAATCTAGCCTGTCTCCCAAGGAAAGACTGTTGGTTACAATGGGGATGCTTCTGGGACTTAGCAGTTGTCTGTAAGGGGACAATGACTGTGAGAGCATCCAAGCTAATGCTCCCCCCCCCCCATTAGGGAAATCAAGAACTCTGTGCTTTCAAGCTGTAGCAGAGACTCAATGGCTATAAAATAAAAGGTAAATGCAAGGTTCAAATGTGATGGTATTAGCTAATGAAAATCCTTTAAACAGCAAACCAGAGTACAGGAAAATGGTTCTCAGTGCCTTAGGTATAATTTTATTTTTGAGAACATCCTTGCTTTCTTGTGAATGCAATCCAAACTCATTTACATTAAAATCTTCGAAAGATCTCTGTATAGCAAGCTGAAAGGCTCCAGCCAAAGTCTAACATATTCTGAATATTTTACACAAAATTCCTATACCTGAACAATTGAAATGAACAGATACTATATGTTCTTACAATTATTATATTCTTCCAATGACCTGAGGTGGAGAATGCCCATCACTATTCATTAGTTTCACTTTTATTTTGAAAGTCTATAATTACTAGTATGTTTAAAGAACTTTTAATGCCTGCCATTAGGAAGGATTCTACAGGTTAAGACAATGAATTTATAATCTTTGTTTCTGAAATACAGAAAGGACAGTGTCAAGTTTTCATCAATACATTTTTAATAATGCTGTAACCAAAGGTGGACACATCTGCAAAACCAAAATATATGTAGAACATTTCTGTTCTATTGCTGCATTAGAAAATTAAGCAGATACTGCCCCAAAGCTACTAACTCTAAAATAACTTTCACATTTTTAATTGAAAAACACACAAATTTCTCTAATTTATAGGTATGAAGGAGCTTCACTGCTTTTGATATACGGATTATATGTTTTGGTGCTGTGTTTTGACATTAAAATTAACCAATATATTATAAAGAAATGCAGTCCTTGCTGCACCTGCCTTGCCAAAGCAATGGAAGAGAGAAGTGAACAGCAGCCACTGATGGGATGGGAAGATGAGGATCAACCATTCATCCGTAGGCAATCAAGAACTGACAGTGGAGTATTTCATGAAGATTCTGGCTACTCCCAGCTTTCTATAAGTTTACATGGTCTTAGTCAGGTTTCTGAAGGTAATAACCACATCCTGGCCACTATTAAGTCTATTCACTAGCAAAACTTAATTTCATTTCAATTCATTAAGTACTATATACTTACTATGTAAAAAACACTACGGGGATTAAGGGATGATCAAGAGGCAGACCTATCCCTAAAGAAGCTTCCAATACTACAGGGGGGAAAAAAAAACCCAAATAGCTAAAATGTGAACATTTAAGTACTGTAAAGAGAAACAAATAACGCATAACTGTGGTTCCTAAACGGGACAGATGGTATAAAATTTGATGAGGATGGTTAGATAGGAAAGATTATCACGGAGAAGGGAGCATTAAAACTAAGCCTTGTAGAATGGTAAGATTTTAACTAACAACCTGATTTATGACTAATAAGTAACAGCTATTGAAGTCTAGACTTCAATAGCTGTTACTTATTAGTCATAAGTAAATGATGTAGAGATAAGAGTAAAGAGTATTCCATGGACTGACAAGTAAATAACATGAGCAAAAGGCCTGCTCAAGTACTAACATAACTGGAGCGCTGCATGTGCAGAATGGAAGCAGAAGAAAGGTGGATAAAAAGGAAGAGGATAGAGTCTTAAATGCTAAATTAAGAGTGTTTGCAGGTTTGTGAGCAGAGAAATTATCAGAACTGAAATATGGGATAAAAGACATGGAGGTCTTTAAGAGGCTACAAAACCAACTGATGTGTTTAACAGATGTCTAGACAAAGTGAAGGCAGGGCGGATACAAGAGAACAGATGTGAGACATTGCAAAGGGAGCATCACCAAGACCAGGCCACTGAAGGTCTACTTGGGAGCAGTGATAATTCTGAGGCTTTTGATCATGGCTGATTAAGAAGATGAGAACACCACTTACAAAAACTAGGAATTAAGGAAGAAAAGCTGGTGTGGGAAAAAAGAAAGTAGGAAGGAAACAGTTGAATTTTAAACATGTCATTTGAAGCAGTAGCAAAACACTTAAGTAAATATATTTAGTAGGAAGTCGAATTCAGCTATGGCCAGAAATACAAATTTGGTGGTTATTTTTTTTATAAAGTGGTTGTAAGAAACAGATTCTAAATTTTATTTAGTAGACAGTGAACTTATTCTATTTTATTACCTTAAAAAGTTAAAGTATGACTTTTCCCCTTCTTACAAAAATTATAGTTTCTAGTCTTTCAGGCGCAAGAGGTACACACGTCTAAGTTAAATTTTGTAACAAGAAACTCAAAAGAACCAGTCCAAACATTTCTTATTACACTAAAATTATATCTGTTACTTTCTGGCCCATTGGCTGAGGCTTGGCAAAAAATTTTTTATGAGTTATTTTACTAGCATTCATTGTAATGTGACCTAATACATGGGTATAGTATTTTATAAATGCCATACAAATTTTAAACAATTTTAAAGTGAATTCCCCTTTTTATGGAATATATTATTGTCTTCCACTAAGTATTGAATTTAAAAAACATACTCAAGTCTTATAAGTTACACTGTAGATTCTATACTAGTGCCTATTTTCTTAAGGTTCTTTCTAAGAATTGTGGTCAATTCTGTGTTTGGTAAATTAATCAAAGAAAATAATGAAACAAGTCCCCTAAAGTCACTTACGATGAGAATTAGAAATATTCAACTTAATAAAAAGATTATGCTATAATTATCTTATACTCCCTAAGTATACATTATGTGATACATAGGGCAGGCTGGAGGTACCATCAATATTGGGAAATGGAAACAACGGGGATAGCTAAGGTAAGACAGCCAGTTAATCCCATAAGCAAAAGTTACTAAAGACCATCCACACTGTAGAAAACCAAGAGATGGTGAACTGACACTTCATAAACATTATGTCTCTAACATACTTAGTGAATGATCCAAGACATTTTGATGGATTTAAGGCCCCAAATCAAGAAACGCTGAGTATCACATTTTACACCGTCAGCCCTGAAGTCTCAATTAGTTTCTTTGCCAGCAATATCAGTAATGAGGTATTCGAATGTTTTAAATAGCCTCTTAAAAACTGATACAGCTAATTTATTTCAATACAGCTCTCTAAATGAACATTTCTAACTTAATTGGCCACTTGAGAAAACTCAAAATCGTTTAATTTTTCCTTAACAGATCCACCAAGTGTTTTCAACATGCCTGAAGCAGACTTGAAAAGAATTTTTTGGGTACTATCCCTTCCCATTATTATACTACTTTTTCTAACCACACCAGATTGTAGAAGAAAGTTTTGGAAAAATTACTTTGTGATAACCTTTTTCATGTCAGCACTGTGGATATCTGCATTTACATATATCCTGGTTTGGATGGTCACAATAACTGGTATGTATCTTAAGTATAAGAGCACAATTTAAAAATAAAATAATCAGTTTTATATAAGAACTAAGAATATATTCACTAAGTGTAGTCTAGTTAAAGAGCAAATTTTTTTTCAGTAAAGACTAAAGATTAGTGCTATTTACAGAAAGATTAAATATTAATACACCAACAAGCTCATTCAGGTTTTGTGAGTTGTATATCACATGTCAACTATATTCTCACTGTTATATACAGCCCAGGGGTACAAGTCAAAGGAATGTACATGTTATAAATGAAATCAAATGCACAGAATGTCTTTCTATTATGCTAATAATTAAATCACATTGCATGGGTGCACAATATAGTCTTTATATTGAATTCCATTCCATAATAAAAAATATAGCAAGGTGCCAGTGTTTTGAGAAAACGATGGGTACTCACTGTTTAACTGGATTACATTTTATTTTGCTTTTTAATATGGGAATATAAACGTAGTATGAAATGAATAAAAAGGGTACAAAATAAAGTTTCATTTTAGGTTTCTACTACCTTCATGATTAAGATTTAACTATTACTGCTTGGTCATAAGCAGCTCTAGTCCCACAGAACTCCTAGTCCAGAAGGAAAAACTGAATATAAACAATGAACAAAAATATCAGGAATTTCTCCCAGAAAGGTTAAGCTGAATGGACTTATATCATAGGTGAGCAAACCACCACCTGTGTGCCCAAATCACTGAGTCTCCTTTTGAGAGTTAAGTTTTACTGGACACAGTCATGCCCATCAATTTATATATTATCTATGGATGCTTTCACATTACACTGGCAGAGCTGAATAACTGCAACGGAGATCATATAGCCTGCAAAGCCTAAAATAATTACTATCTCACCCTTTCGAAAAAAATTTGCTGACCTCTGACTTTTCTCAAATTAATATATGACTTAGAATAGTATGCTATTCTATTTCTTTTTCTTTTACTTTTTTTTACGAGTAAGATGAAAAAGTCCAATAGCTTGCATATTAAAACTCTAAATTTTCTCAGACAGATCACATTTGACATTAGGAAAGCAAGAAAAGAACAAAATGAAGTACTAGATCATAGAACAGTCCCCAAGATGATAAATATTAGTGTTATTTATGTACATATGAACTCTGGCAAACCAGTAACAAAATTAACAACCAATTACAATTTCAGTATCAATATATAAGCATGCAATAAATATGCTACTTGAAGTTCTTCTAATTAACATTTTAAGAAAAAAAAATTCTAAAGTAAGTTTTCAATTACAATATTAAGAGCAGTTACAATTACTTTTTTTTTTTAAACTTCCCTCTAGTTCTGCTTCCCAAAATGAATACATTTATGAAAAATGTTGAACTGACATCAGACTTAACACAAGTATTAAACTGGGACCATAAAGTTAGAAAGACTCAAGCCGAATCCTATTTTGTTTTCCTCAGATGTATGATTTCCCAAAGAAAACACTAAACTAAGGTCTGTCACGAAAGTAGGAATTTAAAAACGCATACCGTGTTAACATATGTACAGCTTAAAAACAGCTACAAATAATTTGCTTAAATCTGACCTCTTTAGCAAATGTCTTTAAAAGGGAAAAGAGAAAATGACCAATCTCGTTAGCATATTTTAAGCAACAGCCTTGACAACAGTGGACAGCCAAAACTTCTGTAAGCATACCAGGCAAGGAAATTACTCCTTGGTAGAATTTTGTGTATTAAATATCGATATCTGTCATTAAAAATCTGTGCTACCTGGGTTACCAATTCACCAATATTATTCAAATATTTTGGTAGCTAAAATCTAAGTAAATACATATTGGTTCTGAAATCTAAATATGCCTATTTTCTTTTTCAGGAAAGAAATATCTGAAATATCTGCAGAGAACAGTTAGCGAATCTATAAGATTTGTAACTTGTAATATCTATGTTTATTTCAGGGGAAACATTAGAAATTCCAGATACAGTAATGGGCCTTACTTTATTAGCAGCAGGAACAAGCATACCAGACACGATTGCAAGTGTGTTGGTTGCAAGAAAAGGTAAGAAGTAGGTCCCTCAAGCTGCAGTGCCCTTCTTAAAAGCCTAGCTGAAATACACTGAGCAAGGTAACTTTAAAATATTTATTTCCTCAGTAACATACTTTGAAGAAAAAAAAAGAGTGACTCAGAGGAAGGATTTACTATTTAATAGCAGATTAATTTCACTAAATCTAATTGCCCAAGTAATATTCATCTGAAATGTGCATTAAATCATGACCATGTTAGAATGAAAGGCAACAAGTAATCTACATACCTTATTGAAAATGGTTTAATAAATAAAGATAATTATTATTAGATAAATAAATGTTAAGACTTTAAATACTAACCCCCCAAAATTTAAAAATACAAATTCATTAAGACTTTTCCTCTAATACAACAATTTTCCAAAACAAACAGAGAAAGTATCCAGTGTTTTCTCTTATGAAGCTTATTAATAAAATACAGTATTGGTGTGCATATTTTAACAACATGCTTTTTTTTTTTTTTACAGGCAAAGGAGATATGGCTATGTCTAACATCGTGGGATCCAATGTGTTCGATATGTTGTGCCTAGGAGTTCCATGGTTTATTAAAACTGCATTTATAAATGCATCTGCTCCTGTAGAAGTGAACAGTAGAGGACTAACTTACATAACCATCTTTCTCAACATTTCAATTATTTTTCTTCTCTTAGCAGTTCACCTTAATGGCTGGAAACTAGACAGAAAGTTGGGACTAGTCTGCCTATTATTATACTTGGGGCTTGCAACATTATCAGTTCTGTATGAACTTGGAATTATTGGAAATAATAAAATAAGGGGCTGTGGCGGTTAATGTTATGTGGAAAATGTGAATGATGGGGAAGGGCAGAGAAGGAAAACTCCATTTCTCCATTTAAGTCAAATAAAAAATATTCTGAACTTTAGAATCTAAAACTTACTTACAGTAATTCTTTATCACCAAGAAAAAATTTAAAACCAACTAAAATCATATCCTAATTTGTCTGAGCCCTTTCTTTTCAAGGACAATTACATATATTAAACAGAAGTTTTGAAAAAACCATCTATGTTTTACCTTACAATAAGTTGATAAAAGCTGGGGACACTTGAACAAACAAATCCCACTATGCAGAGCTGAAAATAACAAGAAAATGGCTTATTTCATTAAAAATAGTATAACCATTCATTTAAACTGAATGACCAGACTTGCTGTCTTTAAAAATCCAAACTTGAGATTAACAAAAATCACAGTATATTAACACTATACTGTTAAAAGCTGGTGGGAGTTTTAAAAGTTCATCTTTACAACTTTTGTAAGCATACAGTATTACTTAAAAAAATGACTTTTACTAGGAGATTCAGCAAAACAGATGTAAGAATGTTCCAACCGTGGTTTCAAATTATGCATTACGATCCAAGCGAACATCAATTTCTCTGCCACTGATTTTTATGCCATTCATTATTCTGCAGGCTTTTTCAGCTGATTCTGGGGAGTCAAATCTGACCGTTCCACAGCCTTTTGACTTTCCATTCTCCATTTTTATTTCTGCAAACATTACATGACCTATAAAATAAAAATTATAGAATTACTAGTCTGTTTAAACAGGTTCCATTTCACTACACAGGTTTGAAATTTCTCGTAGCCAATGAAATGATAACTTGGCTAAAAACATCAATGATTTTAAAATAGCACATCATATAAGCCTTATTCTCATCATTTTATATTCTGAATATAATGCAATTCATATAAAGTAATGAATATATACAGGTTATAATATACAAAATTGAAATCAAAATAAATTTGCTTAGGATTTAATATTTTATTAAAATAAAAATTTTTAATGTTAAATCCTTACTTCTAAAGTGAATTTTATAGCAAGATAAGGTAAGCTAGCACAAAATGACACCAAGTCACCATGCCTAATAACAAACTTACAAATTCAAACAAAATTATTTTCAGAAAAACGATTGCTCATTTATGCCCAATCTCCTAATCTCTCTTCCTTCCCTTTTATCCTCCATTTCACTCTTTTATCCCTGAAAACAGTAGCAACTGCCCAGAAATTTAATTTTTACCAGGCCACAAAGAGCTCCGCTAATTCTGCTTTTCAACCACAGTGCCAAAGTCATTTATTCAATATGACAATTTGAACTCCACATGTAAGAGTGGCACCAAGTATATTACAGAAACAGGCATGGACGAGATACTGTAGATTTAAAACAGTGATGATAAGAGCACAAAGAAGAACCTTAGAGAAACTTCCAGGAGGAGGAAAACCAGACAATGGTTCTGTTTATAGGTAATATCATTACTGACTCTATACAGACTGGTATTTGAAATAAATGAATATCATTTATCAAAATCCGTAGCCATAAAAATCCATCATCCAAACCAGAAACTTCAGAGAGTAAAAGGGAGAGTTAATAATAATTACACACAAATAACAGATGTAAACATTGAGACTATCCCCAGGCATACAAGGATGTATGATAACCCAGTTCACACAGATTTAGATGTGAGGTGACTACTTGCCATAATGTTTCCCTCCCGTTGAATATTATAGTTGCCAGATCACTATGGGCTAATTTTAGTCTGGCAATAAAATCAAAGAGTCCGACATATTTAGTTCTATAAAGGGACAAAAAAAGGAAAAGGGGGGAAGGTAAAAGAAAAAGGCTTGGGCTTCCCTAGTGGCGCAGTGGTTAAGAACCCGCCTGCTAATACAGGGGACACAGGTTCGAGCCCTGGTCTAGGAAGATCCCACAGTCCGCGGAGCAACTAAGCCCGTGCACCACAACTACTGAGCCTGCGCTCTAGAGACCACGAGCCACAACTACTAAGCCCACGTGCCACAACTACTGAAGCCTGCACGCCTAGAGCCTGTGCTCTGCAACAAGAGAAGCCACTGCAATGAGAAGCCTGCGCACTGCAACGAAGAGTAGCCCCCGCTTGCCGCAACTAGAGAAAGCCCACGCGCAGACAAAGACCCTTTGCATAAGCCCTTTGCATAAGCCCTTTCCAGGCGATGGGATGAACTTTTAATCCCAATGCATGAGTAAGATTTTTTTTTCCTGTTTAAATTTTGATCTGAATGACTTCTACAACATCCTAGGCTACTTTTCTTCTTTTGTTTATTCATCCATCCCCGCCCTGCCCCATTACTGCGTTTTTAAAAAACCAACTGATAGGTAATCACTCACCCACTCAATACTAATTAAATGGTTCAAGTTAATAAATATCACACTGAACCAAAACCATGATCTGTAACCCAAGCCAGGCAGTCTTTAACTGTGTTCTAAAAGTTATAAAACAGACTAATTCCAAGAGAAATTATTATAATGGTTAAAGTAGATCCAAAAACTTTTTAACCTACAACAGGTAAAAAACCAAACACACCCCTGTGCACCATTAGTGGGAATGTAAACTGGTATTGCCACTATAGAAAACTGTATGGCAATTCCTCAAGAAATTAAAAATAGAACTACCATAAGATCCAGCAATTCCCCTCCTGGGTACTTATCTGAAGAAAATAAAAACACTAATTAAAAAAAGATACATGCACCCCTATGTTTGTTCACTGCAGCACTATTTACAACAGCCAAGATATGGAAGCCACCCAAGCATGCACTACTCAGCCATAAAAAAGAATGAAATCTTGCCGTTTGCAACAACATGGATGAACCCAGAGGGTATTATATGCTAAGTAAATAAGTCACAGAAAGATAAATACTGTATAATTTCAGTTATATGTGGACTCTAAAAACCAAAAGAAATGAACGTAGCAAAACAGAAACAGTTATACAGAGAACAAACAGGTGGCTGTCTGAGTGGAGGGGGCTGGAGAGAAGAAAGAAATAGTAAAGGAAGATTAAGAGGTACAAACTTCCAATTACAAAATAAATGAGTCACGGGTATGAAATGTACAATGTGAGGAATATAGTCAGTAACTATGTAATAACTTTTTATGGTGATATATTGTAACTGGACTTATCGTGATCATTTGAAAAGTACGGAAATATCGAATCACTATATTGTGTAACAGGAACTAACATAGGGTTGTAGGTCAATTATACTTCAAAAGCAAAGAAACAAACTCATAGAAAAAAAAAAGAGATCATTTTGTAGTTACCAGAGGCGGCAGGTGGAGTGGAGAGGGGAAATTGGAGGAAGGGAGTCAAAAGGTACAAACTTTGAGTTATAAGATAAATAAGTACTAGGGATGTAATGTACAACATGATAAGTGCTGAGTGTTACATATTAAAGTTGTTAAGAGAGTAAATCCTAAGAGCTCTCATCACAAGGAAAATCTTTTTTTCTATGTCTTTAATTTTGTATCTATGGGATGATGGACGTTCACTGAACTTCTTGTGATAACCATTTTATATGGTAAGTCAAATCATTATGCTGTACACCTTAAACTTATACAGTGCTATATGTTGATTATATCTCAATGAAACTGGAAGAAAAAAATTAAAAAAAAATAGAGAAATCACATTTTCTAACATCATAAAATGAAACTGGAGACTATATATATATATTTTCAAAGCTTTAAAGACAAATGCAGAGCAATTCCCAGAGTCACAGTCCTCTTAGTATCTCAAATGCTGGGACCTGAAAAAAAAGCAAGTTTAATTAAAGAAGCATACCTTGGTAAATGGGAGCACTTTACAGTGATTTTGAAGAGGACTGTGGAGAATTTTCAAGAGCTTTTAAGGTTAAATGTTCTTCATTATCCTAAATTTATCTGTTTTTCTTAACATAAGTATCCCACCATAGGTTTATTAGCAATACTAAGGTTCACTCAAGCAAGAAATCTTCAAAACTTCAAAGGAAAATGTGTAATAATCTCTTGCAAAATCCGTTAATCTCCCAGGACAAGTTTCTCTTTTTTTCTCTTAAATTTCCTCTCTTTTTAGGAATCATGACTCAAACTCCCAAATTCCTGACCTCACAATGATCTCAAGGCTTTTCTAGCTGACAAGGTCTATCAGCTAAGATACTTGAAACTTCTTACAGTTTGGACACTCAGGTTTATAGAGAAAGTAACTTATAGATACTTGTTTCACGGTTAGATTGCCCCAAAAAACCCCTAGGTATAGAACTAGAAAGTTCTGTTTTCTAACTTTCTTTTAATCCCATAAAAACACCGAGATATATTCTTTTCTAAAGATAAATAATTGAGGAGAAAAAAATTTAGTTTTAATTAATTAAAATCAGACTTCTCTGGTTTTGTACATGCTCCGAGGACTCTTAAATTACTGAAATATCTACTGATCTTGTGTGATTCCAAGAAAAACAAAATGGGGCTGCTATTTTAGCAACAGTATAAAGAGTATGCAATGAGAAATCAGTATTACAGTAATCAAAAATACTGCTGTTACATATACTAACTACAAAAAATGACTCTCCTGCAATAAAAGAAACCTTTCTGCTTTATTTAACTCAGCCTATTAAGTAATCTTGTGGGGTATACTCTGGAAAATGATGATGTAAAAGCATATCTAAAAACTGACCAAATTAAAGCATAAATAAATAAATAAATGGTTTAATAAAACCTACTTCCAAAGTACAGCTGTAACATAACCACAGGACAAGAAAGCAAAATCAGATATTCTACAAGAAACTATAATTACGATACGGGGGACAAAAAACAAAGTTTGAGTGTTTCTTTACAAACAAAAGAAAGTGACTATCTATGAATATTCTTCATATATTGTTTTTACTCTTACTGCATTATTTTTACTGTTATTTTAATCTAGAGTCCACTAGCCGTGCTTGAAGCACTATGTGTTTTAGTAAATAAAATCCACCACAAGTCTCCATTTTCTATGCAGGTAACAGGTAGCATACTGATGTAAAAAATGAAAATAATGGAAACCTGTGGAACAACGTTATATTTGGTATGGTTTATAGCAGGAATAATTAAGAATGGGCTTTCCTTGCTCTGCAGTTCTAAAACACACTAAGCCAGAGTATAGTTAAAGTGTATAGACAATATGGAAGTTTGAAAAACTACACCTATTTGACTTCATTAACACAACCTGAACTAATGCGGGGTCCAACTCTGAATGGGTTAGTTATTTATACTCAGTCTTCTTAAAAATGTGTATTGAGGAATTACATATAGCAAAATAAAAGAAGATCTACTTTACTATACTCACTTCCTTCTCATCTTGTTATATTTGGGGATATATGAATACATTTTTTCCTGAATTATACCCGCTAAGGAAATGTTGTATTGAGGGTTATTTAACTCATACTCCAACATTTTCTCGATCTTTGTAATTGCCCCACCAAGGACAATTAACCACTCTAGACATCTAATAATCAGAGGGCTTGCTGATGGGCCATTTACTAGCAGTTACTGTCTAGAGGAGAGCATGGAGTACCACTAGACTCCTACTAAGAAGTAATCAAGAGAATATACTTACTCACCTTAGGCTCAGGGGGTTAAAAAAATAGCAAAAAACTGACTTCTACTGTGAAAAGGGGCACTACTGGCTTGGAGCAGGTTAAAAAGAAACTTTCCATTCTAAGAAAGAAAAGCTAAGATTTGAAAATAAATAAAGTGATGTGTGGCAGAAAAACAGATGGTTCAGTTCATACAAGCCAGATAATTTCCATAGTTGTCAATAGCTGGACACTTAATTCTATAAATTATTACTGTAACTTATCTTCCTTTCCATCAATGTAAGTTCAAGGTTAAAAACAGGAAGATGGTAGGAAATTATTTACTATGGTATTACCTTAATATAAATCTGAAAGTCAAAAGCTTTTACAATTAGAATTGAGAAAACAAAACCAAAAAGCATTACTCTCATGATATAATACAGACTGATCAAAAAGGGACATAAAAATAGAGCTAAAATAACAGAGTTAAGCACTTTATTTTATTGGCTAAAATGTTGTACAGATTTTTTAAATGTAGATTTGGGGACTAGTTTTTCCTTTTAAAAAATGTTTTTGAATTGTTGATGTCCTTCCGTCAAAACAATGGCAGCAACAAGTATAGAAGCCCACCAAAAGACCTCAAATTTGCTGCAAGCCTTGCTCATATCTAATCTTGAAAGGAAATCTGCCTACGTACAAGGAAACAGTCAACTCAGTTTTGGTCACATTTTCACTAATGTCATTTGTTTGCCCCACTTTGTTCTTTATGTTGTTTCATTTCTACTTTTAAAAATAAAGTCATATGTCATCTGGAGATTCTTCTTCATTGAAACTACAATAGCAGGGATTATCTATACTTGCTGCCACCGCTCCTCATTTGATGGATCTCACTAAGGCCGTAATATGCTCATTTCCCCTGTAGCCTATGGGATTCACGGGTAGATGCTGCTTACTCATCCTGGTAGATCTCCTTACTCCTACAAAGACTACCAACACCTCAAAACAACTTGATAATTCTGCTTTCTCTTAGTAGCAACTATTTACTAGTTGACTTGTTTACAACAACTTTTTTATCAATAAAAATTATCTTTCTCTTCTTTGAATAAAATGTAAATAAATATAAATTAAAAGATGATCAACAAAAAGGAGCCACTAGAACACTGTAGACAGATCCACACTGTATGTTCTTTGAGGGCAGGGGTAATATCTTACTTTCTTCCCCTTTCTAATGATGAGCAGACTACCAAAAATACAATATTTGTAGATTTACTTAATAAATAACCAAATAAATGAATGAAGATCTTTACAGAATGCTTAACTCATTCATAACATTTAATAAACTCCTACTATACGTGCAGAGGCAACGAAATGTACTAGAATAAATAGATGATGGTTCTTGCCCTCAAGAGCCTTCATCTGGGAGGGAAGAAAACATGTGAACAGATTACCACAAGAAAAGTTAGGTATAAAGTACTCTGAGAACACATTAGAGAACAGTTTCCAGAAGGATCACTTTGATCCCTTGTGACAGTGGCTACAAAGGTTACTTTTGTGGGAGAACACTAAACTTATCCCCTTCATGATCTCCAGAAATTAAAGATATATTCCAAATACTCTTAACTTTCCATTAACTCTCAAAGGTTGAATATACCACTTTTACTTAGCTATTTTTCATCATTATATCCCACCGACATAGTTGTACTATTAATACTCTCTGGGTTACCATGTAATAGCAAAAAAATACTAGCAGGAAATCTGTTACTTTGTTCTACTCACACTAAATCTCTCATCATTACAAAAAAAAGGCCCTCTTTTAAAAGTAATAAACCACCTAATCATCTACAGACCTAATGAACATATTACGGTCGTATAGGTAGTATCATTATAGCCAAGAACCGTTTATAAAAGGAACAGAAGGGCCACCAGAATGTACCTGTCTAAGGCATTCTAGGCAGTGGGTTCTACGCTATCAGCTAAGTTTCCTTTATTGCATAGGTGACAGAGTGCGCAGAACGGGTCTCATCTATTAACTCCATATCACTTGGATGTCAGCATTTCATTGAGTCATGTTGACAAAGCGCTGTACTACATTATAAACAAAGAAATACATATACCATTCGTTAGTATTTCCCACATAAAAAACATCCTTTTAAATTCAAGCAATGATGATATAGTAACCATTTAAACATCAGGTAATAAAATAAGCCCTTTCTTTATCCACAGGAGACAATGAGACTCTACTCTAAATCTTGTTATTTAGTAGTAATTTGCACTGCTGTATGTCAGAGGATAGCAAAATAATTCATTTCTTTGAAGTGGAATTAAACCTGTCATACTACCCAGGAATAAGCATCTGGACAGGTAAAGGTCTAAGCAGTATTTAAAAGTTTAAAATCAATTTTTCCTCCATAATCAATATCAATATATCTACAGTCATTGGCATACTTACCACACTGACTGAATTTCTCTTTTAGTTTCTGCCAAGTCAAGTCAAAAGGCAGCTAGAATGAAAAAAGGTATTAGTAACAGATATACAAGGAAAAAAATAATTTTAAGTATACTTTACATTTAGTTGCTTACATTTCTGACAAATATCTGGTTGCCTTTGGAGCCTATTCTGTCTCTCATTCCGCTTCCCATAGGACCTGATAAAAATCCTCGATCCATATCGATGCTCCTTTCCAGTATAGCTCCTATACCTGGTCCCATTCTATCAAAGCTGGAACTCATCCGATCCAGTCCCATCCCCATTCCTCCAGTCACACTGTTCATGCCACCCATTCCACCACCTGGATTTTCAAGAAGGGAAGGGAGGATTTGGGAGTTTGGTGTTTTTGTTTTAAGAACAGAAGGAAAAGGAGAAGGAAGAGGAAGAAGGAGAGAAAAAGGGGGGAGAGAATCATTTTTGAGAAAGAGAGAAAAATTAATTCATTTATGTAATTAGACAATATATAAATAAAATTATTTTCATACACACAATATAACAATCTTCCAAGGAACAGATTTTAATTTTGTATATATTTAGTTAGTTGAATGTTAATGGCTAACTGAATCTGTTCATACTATTATACATATACATTTCTAAAAAATTATATTCTGATCATAAAACGTAAGTTATATAAATTTTCTATCAATGACTTTATTCATTAATGTTATAGTAGTTTGTATCCTCACTTTTATGTTTTAATAATACCAAGCTTAGTAATTGTTAGAACAAAGACATATGGGGTAAATTCAAATAATTACAACTACAACATATCAACTGTTGCTCTCATACTGTCCTACATAATATTCTTTTCCTAGCTTACCTTTCACCTCAGTATCTTGTTTTGTATACAATTGCTCTTTTCATATCAATTCAATTTTCAATAACCAGAGAAAAAGCTAACTTTTAGTCTCTATGTTATACAGAGCTTGTGGAGATAACAACAAAAACTGGAATCACACTCCTTTAGCCAGAGCTTAAAAATCTAGCTTGTAGCTCGTACCCACTTGATTCTTATACATTGAGTCCCCTTTAACTATTCCAATCCTACTCTTTCTCAATCGTATCCTTTTTTCTCGTACCTAATATCCCCACTCTAAAAATTAACATCACCCTCAAATTGGCTTTCTGTGAATAACAAATATAAAATTAGGGGAACAGAAGTATAAACACTGAGGTGAAAAAGGAAGGTAGGGAAGTTATGATTAACAGGAAAATGGCCAAGGCTGAAAAGATGATGAAAAGAAGGAATAAAATGAGAAGCAAGGTACAATGGAAGTAAGTATCTTCAGCTGACAAGATTTTTTTAACTCACTCTTAGAAGAGTTCAAGTAGACTTTGTTTCCTATTTGTGAGATTTCAATCAATTAAAGGAAGTCGGTAACTATGGAGAGCTCACATAGACATGGTTCAGTAAGCAACATGGGTCAAAAACTAAGCCTTGTGTTAAGGGTTAATATAAGGCCTAAAATGTACTAGTGGAAACAGAGGGAAGAAATTTGGCATTCCCCAGTTTTGCAACAATAGTACTCTTGATTCTATCAAAGAAAAGGTTTAAGAAGCAAGGAAATAAGCATTTCTTTTAACCTTGCCCTCAACCTCAGGAGGTCTCCAGAAGTGTTAGATCTGAGGCGATTCACCTGCGTTTACCAAAAGACACAATTTTTTTTCACAGATGAAATAAGCTAGTCTCCAACAGCAGTTATAGAGAATAAGCAAAGAAACAGAGTTGGTGCTAAAGCTAATGTTGTTCGTGACATATGATCAGAAAAAGCGCCAATTCTTTAGTTGGAATAAAGGTTCTTGAATTGGGTGACAGTTAACACATATTCTGGTGTTAGTTTAGAAATGTCAAAGAAGTAAAATTCAAAGTTAGTTAAGAAATTTCCAACAGCAATAAAACAGTAAAGCTCAATAAATATCAAAGTTTCTCTAAATTATGACAAGTCATATCAACATATAAGAACAAAGTATTACAATACTACAGTAACTACTCTTGCAAAGTTTTTTGCAAGTATTCAAATATTACTGTAAAATTCTAGTAAAATTTAAACCTACTTATTCCAGATCCTACTGGACCCATGTTAGAAGCTCCTATTCTTCCTGCAAACCCTCCAATCATTGCACTGCCTAAACAAGGATGGAAAGATAATATACTAATTAATTTAAATAATCATACTTTAAAATTCCCAAGGTATTATGCTCTCAGAAGATGTACAATAACTGAAAAGTATAAAGTCTTCTACAAATAGGGTTCAAATATGTAAGACACTGAAAAAGAGAGCTAGTACATTAAAACCTCTGAAGTATTTTTCTTCAAGTAATAAATTGCACAAAACATTATAAATTTCTAATTTTTCATACAAAAAAAAGACAGCCAAACTTTGAAAAAATACAACCTGCAAAAAGAAAAGAAGTAAACAGCCAGCCCTACCAAGTCTACCAAAGGAATCTCCAAAGCCTCGATTTATTCCAATATCACCACGTCCAAAATCTCTCTCCATGCTACTAGTCATCGCACCACGGTATAGCTCTGAAAAGATTATGCAACAAATTAACCCTTTTTCAAGTATTATCAATAAACAGTAATCCATTTAGGAACTAAACTGTAATGACAGCAAAAGCCACAATACAAGAAGTCCACGATTTACCCAACCTACTTCACATGCCACAGATATCCCAGTTCCGCTCTGCCTGTCCCTACCCCTGGTGCCCATACATCCTCTGAAAACATCTACAGTATCCATTCCTAAGTAAAGGGGGGACATTTTTAATAATGGAGAAAATGAAATGTAGTATACACATCCCACTATATACATTTACCTACCTCCCATTCGACCAACTCCTCCAAATCCTCCCATGCTACTCATTGCTTCCAGACCACCAAACCCAATTCCTATGGAATAAAGGTTAAGTTTGAGATCTGTCAGTTATATAGCTGAAAGGTATATTTTGTAAATATTAAGTCTCATCAGTAAGCTCTTCATCCACCCTACCTTGTGCAACTGCTTCTTAACACATCACCTTCCACATCCCTTAAGTATGTACCAGGCTCAATTTCTGCTAGCAGCCTTTAGGACGTGAGCCAACAATAAACCATGACTTTTGTTTCCCTTGGAATTCTCAACATAGTTTCTAACTTACTAAACATGGTGATGGGTACATACAAGAAAACAAATGCTTATACATACCTCCTCCAATTCTATTCATTCCTCCAAAACCTGGACCATCCATTCCCATACCTCAAATAAAATACACAGTATGTACTTTCAGTAAATCTTATTTTAATGACTAAAGAATGACATAATGCAACACAGCAAAATAGATACCAATGGTCTAGTCACAGTGGAATACTAGAGAAGCAGCAGGGCACAGATGGGATGGTTTAAAGTGCTATGCCACAGCAGGTGTCTAATCATGAGTATTCAGAAAGGCCTCTTTGAATATTTATTAGACAAGAAAACAAAATTCACTGGTCATACTCACATTCAGTTAGAGAATATCTAGGACTAGGTAATCGTTCATTTTTTTTTTCAGCTCAGACACACAAATATCACTACAGCAGATTGAGAGATCAGGTCAGAAAGTAAGGACTCCTTTAAACATGGCAGCTAAGGGAGCAGTAAAAAATGAAAGAATAAAAATAGTATGTGTTTAGGAGGGTAGAGGGCCTAAGAGTAAGGGAGAAGATTTCCATCTGTTTAGACCATAATGATTACCATAACTACCCTCACAATTTAAAATGTAACTATAGCATCTCAACAAAAATAGAAACCAGATAGCATTAATTAGTCCATCAATTTAAACAGCAATTCTCAAAATATGGTCTAAGGACCTTTGAGGGTTCAATAGGTCAAAACTCCTTCATTATCCAAATAACACTAAGATATTGACTGTTTTACTCTCATTTTCTCATGAGTATAAGGTGGAATTTTCCAGAAACTACATGATAGATGACACTGTAACAAATTGAATGCAAAAGCAGATACAAGAGCATGACTGTCTTGCATTAAGCCAAACATTAAAGAGATGTACAAAAAGGTGAACTAATATCACTCTTCTCACTAATTTTTGTATTGGAAAATACAATTTATTTTCTTAAAAATTACATTAATTTAAACACATAATGTGTTTATCATTGTTATCTTAAATAAATATGTAAATTTTTTTAAATTTCTAAGTTTTAATTTCAAATACAGTAAATATTGACAAATATAACCACATAAACAAAAGCACTTTGGGGTCCTCAACAAATTTTAAGAGTATAAAAGGGTTCTGAAACCAAAAAGTTTAAAAATCAATCTTCAAACATAAACTGTAGGTTATTCTACGTGAATAGCCAAACAGCTATCTGAAAAGCTACCCTCCCAACTAGATATTCAAATTTAAATTGCTTATATGGTAGTATTTTAGCCATTCCACAAATACTGTATATCCATGATACACAAGGCATAGATTATGTTGAATATTCTCCTTCTACCTTAAAGACAATTCAAAATCTAAAAGGCTAAAGGCTAGCTAAAAGTGCTAAAAGGCTAGCTGTAATGTGGCTGCCCTCAGAGGAACCCTCCTGACCTTCTGTTCAACCTCTTTCACGTTCTCTGCTCTCAAAGGTTTCATTCCTTTTTCAGACTAAAGTAACATCTTAAATATTCAACTATAAACTACAGTCCTTTAAATATTATTACAAACTAGTAAATATAAGCTTTACAATGTAGCAAATGTATCATTTAAAAAGAAACAATAAAGTTAGAATACTCACCACTTGGACCTAAATTTCCCATTACACCACCTATGTTCAACTGGCTGGCACTAATAGGTTGTCCACCTGGACCAAGTCCCATTCCAATGCCTCCAAGACCACCTAAAACACAAATAAGAATATTATTACCAACTCATATATGATCAACTAACTGGCACTGAAGAAATTTTTAAAGCTATATGCCTGTAGTAGTATTTCTAAAATATTGCAAATTTGTAAATAAGAGCACCACAGTTCTTGTTTTCATTGGAATGCAGCACATTGAAGCCTCACTATATCATTTACTAATGAGAAGTGTTTTATGAAGCAGATCCATCTTATATCCCAGTTAAAGGCATACTGAAAAAGAGTAATGAAATACCAAGAGGATTTTGAACCACCTTATAAATGACATACATATCTGAAAATAAGAATCTTGCTTGAATCTGTAGACCCTCTTAAAACCTAGGAATTACTTTTCAGATGGTTCAAATCAAACTAAAAAGTCAACAAACATGAAAACATTGAATAAAGCAAACATTACCTAGTTTTATCACTGACATAAATATTTATATAAACAAATATATTTATTTATATGGTATTTTAATTTATTTATATGCTATGGTATACAGTGTTTTCACATCTATTATCCACAGTTGAGGTAATTTCTGAGACCATTAAGTTACTTGTACAATGCCATTTAACTATGTGATTAAGCTAAGACTAGAATTCAAGTTTTCTGTCTCTAAATCCAGTATTCTTTTTACTTTCTCTCTTAAACTAAGTTCACTGAAAAGAGACTGTAAGAAGACAATCTGATGACTTAAAGACAGTGGGAACTGTTTTATTCTACTAAATCTGAGTTTGACTTAAAAGTTCTTGCTAGTCAATGTAGCAATTAGTAAGTGGTAAGGGCTGAGAAAACCATATACTATATATATATTTTTAAAAAGAGTACAGAAGCATGTCGTGTTAAATTGGAGAAAGATCAATGTGACCTGGTAAAAGAAATATCTTTTTAGCTCAGTCCCTAAAAATGGTTCAAAGCAATAGCACACTTTACTATCAACAATGCTCATGTCTACACCTAAAACTCTTATTTTCTTCTCTGATATCATTCTTCACTAAAAGGAACCAGGCCTCTTTGAAAGTAGGCCAATCTCATGTCTTTGAACAAGAAAAATCTTCATGGATCTGGGAAATCCCATTCTCACCAGAAAGTAATAGCAGAGGCATAGGAAATGAGAGGTCCCCTCTTGCCAAGTTATAATAATTTGAGAAAAAGAAGTGGGGGGGGGGTTGGGGAGAAAGGCAGAAAATAGGGAGGTTAATAATGATTAACTTAACTAAAACAACAAACTGATTCTGTTAAAGTCTATGAGTTCATATTATATCTCAATAGAAAAGAGTACATAAAACCATAAATCTTAAAAAGAACAGATATAAAAGTATGAATGTAATTTTTAAATCTAAATAAATTGAAAAGTACTAACAGTGGAAAATAAATCGAAAGCCCCTACTTTATAAAACCAGGATATTAAAACATGACACCCTGAGTGATAAGGAAGGGCAGGAAAGGGCTGCCCTACAAAGGGAGAACAGGTAATATTCAAAGACATGTCAGCTGAGAATTTATTTTAAAAAACTGAATTCTTAATTGTGAAAGCCCAATAAACAGTAATCCACATCCACACTGTAGTAAAACTGCATGCCAAAGATAAAGATCTTAAAATCAGCTACATGAAGAGCACAGCTTATCTATAAAGAAAGGACAGCTCAACTGATAGCTGACTCGATAGCAAATATAGAAGCCAGTAGACTGGAATATTTTTAAAGTGTTGAGAGAAAATAAGTACCTTAAACTATATAACGAGTGAAACTATCTTTGAAGACATTTATAGACAAACCAAAATTAAGAGAATTTACTAACAACAGATACTCATTGAAAGAGCTTTTAAAATATATGCTTCAGGGGGAAAAAATAGTGCCAGGGTCTGTGAAAGCAGATGATAAGTAATAATAATGCCTAATTTGTGGGACTGGAAGCAAAGCAATATATAACTAAAACACTGAGCAATAATAGCATATAATTCGGTAGGAAAGTGATTAGAATTAGAGCATTCAAAGGTCATTCTACTATTGAGAATAACTATATTAACTTCAGACTTTATATAGGCATATTAAAATATCCAGGATAACCACCAAAAGAGAAAGATAGGAGAAAAATAAATATAAACATTTGTAAAACACAGAAAAATAAAACACATAATAAGATAACGGGAATTAATCCAAATAAATCTACAAATGTGAATAAACAAAACAAAGCTGTTGTATCTCCATTACTATTAGACAAATGACTTAAAGGTAGTTACTAAGTATGAAATCACTCTATAATGATAAAATCTTAATTCACTAACAAAATATATCAGTTCTAAACCTGCATGCACCTACTGAATTAGTTTCAAAATAGTTCAAGTAAAAACAAGAAAAAATATGCAAATTCACCATTATAGCAGGGGATTTTACCATAAACTTATCTCAGTAATTGATAGCACAAGCAGACAAAATTACTAGCAGAGATATAATTTAAATGATTAACAAACTTGGTTTAATAGACATATACAGAACAGTATACTGCACACCTGAAGTATTTATTAAAATGTATCATATATTAGGCCACAATGCAAAGTCCAAATTAATTAATTGATTCCAAGGAATCACAGAGACCATCTTCTATGACCACACTGTTAAGTCAGAAGTTAGTAAGAAAAAAAGTATACATTTGGAAATTCAAAAATATATGACTTAGGAAGAAATCATAATGGCAATTTAATAAAAATTAAATCACAATAAAGACACTCTATAGCAAAACTTGTTTATAGTGGCCAAATTTATAGTCATAACTACTTGTATTAAAAAAGAGGCTGCAAATTAGTGAAGTACACATTCAACTTAAGGAGTTAGGACAAAAATAAGAGACTAAACCCAAAGAAATAGAGAAGGAAATAAAACTAAGAGAATAAATTAAAATATAAAAGATGGAATTCACTTCTTTGAAAGCACTAATAAAACTGACAAATCTCTAAGAAAAACTGACTAAGGGGGCTTCCCTGGTGGCACAGTGGTTAAGAATCCGCCTGCCAATGTAGGGGACACGGCCTCGAGCCCTGGTCCGGGAAGATCCCACGTGCTGCGGAGCAACGAAGTCCATGCACCACAACTACTGGGCCTGTGCTCTAGAGCCCGTGAGCCACAACTACTGAGCCCACGCACCACAACTACTGAAGTCTGCGCGCCTATAGCCTGTGCTCTGCAACAAGAGAAGACACGGCAATGAGAAGCCCACGCACTGCAACGAAGAGTAGCCCCCCCGCTCACCGCAACTAGAGAAAGCCCATGCGCAGCAGTGAAGACCCAACGCAGCAAAAAAAAAATATAAATGAATAAAATAAATTTTAAAAAAAAAGAGAAATTGCAAACCACTGGAATTTAAAAAAGAACTATGGATGTGGCAAAAATTTAGAGAGACTATTTTATGCCAATAAATCTGAAGATGAGGAAAAATGGTAAAATTCTCAGAAAAGTAGAAATTACCACAATTGAGTCAAGAAGCAATAGGAAATATGAACAATAAATAGTTAAAAATCTTCCCACAAACAATAAAACAAGGCCAGACAGTTTTACAAATAATTTCTAGCAAACACTGAGAACGTATTATTCTAAGAGAAAAAGAACAAAACACTCCTCAACTTAGTATTGTCTCTAATAACAGAAAATTAGAATAACCTAAAAAATATATATGTAAAATGTGGTATTAGCAGTTAAAATAAAGGAACTAGAGCTACAATCTATCAAACATAAATGAATCTCAGAAACAATGTTAAACCAAAACCAGCAAGTTGCAGAATAATAGGCACAATATAATTTCACTCACACCAAATTTTAAATCCAGCAAAACAATTTCATATAATGTTTATGGATGTATAAATGTGTGATCAAATTATTAAAACCTAAATGATAAACACTGTATTCATAAGTTGTTTCCTCTAGATAAGGTATCTAGTGGGAGGTGGTAGGGGAGAAGAATCTTTATCTGTAAAATTTTATTTTAAAGAAAAATCACCTATAACAAATATGGTCTACACAGCTACACGAGTGATTTTATATTTGTCTGTATATTTTAAATATTTTATGGAAAAAAAACTTTAATAATAACCAGAGAAAATACAACAAAAAGTAAGAACACGAGGTAGTATTTACTGAGTGCTTACATTATGCCAGAACTGTTCTAAGTGCTTTACATATACTATATATTAATTCATGTAATACTCATGCCAACCCCATGAAGTAGGTACTATCAAGCATCCTCATTTTGAACATGGGGTATTGAGACACAGATGTTAAGTACATCATATTGCTGTTTTATAATCCTTTGGAAAACAATTTGATAATACTGATCAATAAGCATACCTGAAAACCTGTAAATCTACATCAAGATATCTATCTTAAGGAAATAACCAAAAACATACCAAAGATTTGTATACAAAAAGAAAGAAAAAGAAAAAACTCTATTGGTGAGTAAAGGGAAAATGTTAAAATACCTACAATATACATAACAGTGAAATAGTTATGGAGCATCCATATGATAGATTATCAATAGCCAATAAATTTTGGAAAGAAGTTTTAACATAGAATAATGTTTTTGTTAAACAAAAAAATAGAAAATTATTTATATGGTAGTTATCAACTGTGTAAAAAAATACACCTAGAAGGAAAGACTGGAAGGAAATGCACAAAAATGTTATAATGGAGGTTACTTATGGGTGGTAAAATCACAACAATTTTTTCCCCCCTCACATATGACCTCAACAAATTTTTTAGTATATATTGCTTTTATAATCAGGAAAAACTACAAAAAGAAAGAAAAGTGTCTGTCACATGTAATCAATTATGCCAAACTAGCTCCATAACTCCAAACACCAAACTGTGGGCAACTTGGGAAGTAGGCACAAAAATAAAGTTTTGCTTAGCATATCATGAAATTGAAAAAGAATAGTCTGTATTACTTCTAATAATAGCTTTTACTTACGTGGTAATTGTGGTGTTTTACTATCATGTGAACGGTAGTCTTCATGAGGGACAGACTTGTCATCCTAATTGCAAAAAAGTTTATTATATGGTTAATATATAATTAAAAAGATCTTTAACATAGAAGAGAGTAGATAAAACATTTGAAGAGGTTGGAGAGTTGAAGTGATATACAGGAACTCACCATTTTCACATGCATAGGTCTATCAAACAAAAACTGCCCATTGAACATAGCTGTTGGTTCAGTCAAGGAAAGCCAGTTAGGCAACTATGAAATTATACTTGAACACAAACACATTTTTAATAATCATATTTAGCATCAGACTATCTCTAATATTTTAAAAAACATCCTTAGTATTTTACTTATTTGTATTAGTCTCTTCCGCATACTCAAAAATCTTCAGTTCTTTGCTTTATAGTTTTATTTTATAAATATCTTTAATTCAACTACTGCAAAAAGAAAATTAACAAGGCTTCATTTAAAGCAACTGTATTAACGTACAATGAATTACATTACTGTCAACAGCATGTATACAATTAGTTGTGGTAGGAAGAGAAAGTAGACAAAAGTTCATACCAGGCCTATACAATATGGCTAATTCAAGTTTTAAGAGTGACTTTAGTACTTGGACATAGTAAAGGTTTTATGTGCTGGAGACCAAATTCTAATACATATTTCTAAGCCAGGCAACCTTAAATTCCATAATCCCCACAAAACGGTATCAAACTTCTTCAACCTTATTAAATAATGCTAAAGTGTAAATTAGGATACAAATTGCTTGAACTGCTTCAATTGCTTGTTCAAAAGTGACTGTGCCCATTCCTCTGCTCTTGCCATCTTTGTCTTCTTTAATATCTGCCCGCTTTACAGTTCCAGCTATGCTGAACACTTCCTTTAGCTTCTTCCAACCAACTTTGAAGTCAAGCTTAATATAAAATTATATAAAGTTACACGCCTATTAACTCCTCTCCCCACTTATAAATAACACAAGTCTTTTCTAAACTCTCAAAAATATAAAGAACTATAATTCTTGTTAAACAGTATATCAATAGTATTCACGTAGAAACATCTTAAATTATTAAAGATCGGTTAAGCTACATCTACATTGTTCCTTACCCTTATTTTTTTTAATTCCCAAAACAGTCTCTCAGAGCTGCTCAATCCTGTTTTGTACATTTGAAACTTTCATATCTATTTTTACTGACAGAAATTCAGATTTTGGAAAGTATGGTTGATATCACTGACTTCCAAAAGCTTAGAACAAATGACAAACCAACTACAACATGCACATTCACAAATATCAAGTATCAAAGCTAAAGAAAGAAATCCATTTACCAATATGAACAAAAATCACATATAATGTAAGTACATAATTTCAAGAACTGCTTAAGTGTTTATAAATTCCACAGTTCCGTTTTAAAAAATCCTAAATACTTGTATTTACACTCTGACCTTATATTTATGGACTTAAATTGGGTTTGAGTTTACAATAATTACTGTTTTGCTTAGTTAAAAACAAGCAAAATGTTCTATAAACCTATGACCCATTCATCTAATTAAATAATCTCATGATTAGAACTAAATATCTGAATGGCAAATTTTTAGAGCAAAGCTTAAACTTACATTAGCAACAAAAATTGTGGAACCAAGTCTACCAGCCTGCAAATTACTGATAACCTCAGGAGGAATGTTTGGATTATTGAGAATGGAAGGTGGTAAATTCATCAATCCCGATCCCATGTCGGGTACATGTCCTCCTGGAAATGATCCTCCTGTTCGTTGCAGTGCCCTACGAGCATTTTCTCCATCAGGATCCTATAACACACAGTGAATGTTAAATGCCACCAGATACATCAGTAAGTCTATATCACTAAAATAACAACTTCAAATTCTACAGCAGCTATCCCAACTGGCTCAAATTAGTGGCCCTCTTGAAGAGTGAGCTTTTTTCTCATCCAGAGAATTCAGTCCCATAAAAACCTGTGGATAGACAAGAGATTTCAGTCTCCAGGGATGTCAATTAAATACCTCTTTCCAATCACTAAAGTCACTTAAGAACTTGAAATTAGTTTAATTTTGCCCTCATACAGGTATACAAGTATATGGCACACACACATAAATCCACATAACTCAAAGAGGAACAAAATACTTACTGTGACTCTTATTCCCACCACTATATGCCCAATGTAATGACAAATTCATACTAACTCAAAGCTTTCAACAGAAGAACAGCCTGTTATAAAACCCAGGAATACTGGGGTAGAGGGGAACTGTTATAATGTGGAAATTTCATTCCCGAACAAAATACAATTATCCACTTTCCAACCTCTTTCCATCCTCAACAATGATTACGATCTGAGATGGAGGGAGAAGGGACATAAAGAAAGGCATGAAGAATGGTACTAAACATTGTTTGGTTTTTGTTTTCTTAAGTTCGTTGACTTTTAAGAGAAATATGCTGCCTTTAAACAAAGCAAAAAAGGCAAGCCTGAACATACTTCTCACTCATCTCAGTAAGTAGAGTACAAAAAACAAACAAAAACCAAATAAACACACAGACAGACTATCATCTGCAATACCAAATGATTATGATATATGTAACCATCAACTCTACTCTGCTGGCCTCCATCTGGGAATGCTAATAAAAAGAAAGTTGGATGACTTTAATAAATTTTCTAGGAAGGCTGGAAAATAGAAGGTGAAGTGAATGTAAGAATAAAGGTATTCTGGCATCCAATGTATTCCATCACCATGAAGAAATAAAAAGAAATACAAAAGCAAAGAAATTAATGTTTTGAAGAATGCTATAAAACTCTTTTAAGTCAATAAATAAACGCTTCAGGTCTAAGGTTTCAAAATCTTGCACAAATACAAAACTTAGAATAGTGGTTACCTATGGGGGAAGGAGGAGGACATAGCAGGGGAGATGCTTCATGAACCATTAAGATAGTCAGATTGTTTGTCCTTCACATCTTAACATTAATAAAACATTGTTATATTTTGATTTTTTAGGTATGATATATATATAAACATATATACACACAAAAATATAAACACACATATAAAACATATATAAAATACAAATTATGTAAAACCACCTACTATGTAGCATGATTTTCATTCCTCTTTTCTCCTTAGATGTCAGCCTGCCCCAGTCACTGCCTGCTACTGCTATGAGAGGGCCTCTAATAAGTTTACAACTGCTACTAAACCTCACTTAATTAAATTTAAAAATGCAATTCTAATATCTGTTAATGAACATCGGAAATATAGTTTTCCCTAGACTCGAACTAGTATTTCTCAGCACTGACCCCAGCCACCCACGTGAAAATCAGATAATTCCAAGAAAGGGACCTTTAGAGATATTAATCCGAAAAAGTTAACTGAATAAAGAACACCATCATTTAGCCAGGCCAAACTCAACCATTTTTCTCTTTGGGAAGTAAAAACTGGGAGTATCCTAAATCAACTTGGATCACATAACTCTATTTTAGGGTCTCTGAAATATTACTGAGGATCTACAATGTGTTAAAACTTAAAAGAACACAAACGATATGGGCTTGGCCTTTAGCAGCCAATAAACTTTTTTTCCAGTTAAAAAAAGACACAGAATCTATAATACTTGTCTTTTTTTTTTTTTTTTGGCCACACTGTGAGCCTCGAGGGATCTTAGTTCCCCGACCAGGAACTGAACCCCAGCCCTCGGCAGTGACACCACAGAGTCCTAACCACTGGACTGCCACGAAATTCCATATAACACTGGTCATTTGAAGAGGAATAGGAAACATCATAAAAAAGCAAGTCATAATTCTCAAAATAATAATTTCCCAAATGGTGGCTATTCTACAAATGTCACCGTTATGGGAAATTATTAGGGTATCAGCACATTTCTGGAAAACTGGTCCTGGCTTACGCATAAAAATTACCAAATAAATGGCTGGCACAGATTACAACAGTCTAAACTTTCTCTACCAATTTTCTACATCTCAGTCAAAATATTTAAAAAGAAAAAAAAAAAGAAAGGAAAGAATAAGCCCCTAGACTCAAATAGAATTAGAGAAATTCAGAAGCTGACTCCAATAAAGGGATATGGGATACCTGTATTTGTTGGCAGCATGGCCTTTAATTTTAAGCTATTATCACCTCATATCCAGGAACAAGAGACCAAGGACCAGTAACACTCCCACCCTGGGCAGGAATAACAACAATCAAAATTATTATTACAGGGACTTCCCTGGTGGCACAGTGGTTAAGAATCCATCTGCTAATGCAGGGGACACAGGTTTGAGCCCTGGTCCAGGAAGATCCCACATGCCGCAGAGCAACTAAGCCGGTGCGCCACAACTACTGAGCCTGTGCACTAGAGCCCACGAGCCACAACTACTGAGCCCAAGTGCCACAACAACTGAAGCCCGTGCACCTAGAGCCTGTGCTCCACAACAAGAGAAGCCTCTGCAATAAGAAGCCCGTGCACTGCAATGAAGAGAACCCCCCGCTAGCCGCAACTAGAGAAAGCCCACGCAAAGCAACAAAAACCCAATGCAGCCAAAATAAATTAATTTTTTTAAGTTAAAAAAAATTATTATTACAGCTAACATTATGTAGTTACAATATTTTCAGCACTGTGCTAAGTGCTTTATATAATTATAACAAATATGTAACATTTATTGTTTTACATATATTAACTCTTTGAGTCCTCATAACACTATCAGATAGATTCTAGTATCATACCCATTTTAGTGATAAGAAAACAGAGAAGTTAAGTAATTTGCCCTGGGTCAGAGTCTCTGATGCCAGAGCCTGAGTTTTTTTAATCCTCATAAATGTATCTCCATTTAATCCTCATAAAAACCCTAACTAGGTAAGTATTATCTGTATACTATTATAATTACTAAGGTTTAGAGAATAACTCAACTAAGTACACAGCTAGAAAGTGATAGAGCTGGGACTCAAACCAATACCATACTAAATTAAATTGTGACTGACAGTACTGCTCTACAATGATTTGCATCCATGTTGGTGGAAACTCTTCAGGGACCCAAAGTTACATCCTCTATCATTTTTTACTATAGACTTTAGCAAGGATATATACATATGTGGTCTGTGATCAACTATTCAGTAAGATCAACAATATGAACTAAAGAAAGACATGAAAATGACTTCTATTCAAGCTAATCATTTCCAAGGTAAATTACACCTAACTGTAAACAGTTTTTCATGTATCTTCCAATCATTCTTTTGTCAACATATTTATACACTGTTTCATACAACGGGAACATCTCCACTTTAGGGGTTTCCAAGTTCCAGTTATAAATTTCACTAACCGATTTATAACTTTTCTTAAATTTTAATCTGGCATAGTTTCAGGTTAATTTTATTAAAAGTGAATATCAATTTTATTCAAATCCATAAGGTATTTGCATTAATAAGCAAACTTTAATTATCAACTAGAATATCTACAATATTTCTTAAATCTAATAACACAGTCTAAAAACTGAAAATGTTTATACCAAGTATAAACTTGGTATAAAAAAGTCAGCACCTTAAGTTTGTCATCTTTAAATTTCTGTGTCCTGTAATTTTTTAAAATCATACACCCCTGCTTATAATAACTTGGAACAAATCATATACATAGGATACTGCTTAAGGGCAAATAGGAAAATCATGTACAAGCAAAACTATCATCAATTATATAATGCTTTAGTAAGCATCTACCCTTTAAAAAAAATGCTGTAATCAGATAAATAACCTTACTAGATGAAAATCCAAACAAGACATGTCCTTATAATTCAAATGTTTAAATTATTCCAAATATAAGAAATCTTACCTCTTTGATATTCAAGGGTCTTCCGCTAAGATCATATTTGTTCATAGTTTCTAGTGCTTTCTTGACAAATTCTTCATCTTTGAATTCAACCACACTTAAGGGGGAAAAAATTTATAGGAAATGTTTATGTAGTAAGATTTTTTTCCAATCGTAAGTTTAAATTTGACTTAAGATACTTAAAAAAAGAAAATTCTTACCCACAACCCTATATCCAGGTAGATTTGTCAATATATGCAAAAGAAAAAAAGTTCTGGATCAGTAGACGAAGTTAATGGCAGATTCTAACATTTAAATCATTAAAAATCAATAATACAATCATTCTTTGTCTTTTAGACCTCCAGAATGTAACAGGCACGTGACCACAAATTTTCTGTAAATTTTCAGATCTATCTATTTAAGATTGTAGAATCTAGCATCTAACAAGTTTGGAGCACATTTTTACTTTTAGATGATTCTTCTTTAAAACTAAAGTAATGTCATCCCACAAATTCAATCAAAAGTAACTCAAGGAAGTAACTGAAGGCTCTCAAATACCTATCTTTACATTGTTATGAATATTTTTGAAAGATATATGGTACACAAATAATTTTTAATGTAAATTTTTCAATTTTATTAAAATCAAAATAGGAAATATTAATCTAATGTTAAAGTTCTCAAAACTGGCTGCACACAATTTAATAGCATCCAGTTGTAAGTATATTTAAAAAAAAACTATGCTAAAGAAACAAATTAGTAGAATCATTTTTTATATAATTCCTTGTCAATATTACTGTTCAAAGTGCCATTTGAATGTGATGACAAAGTTTTTATTTCTCATGCACCCAACTGGTTTTTGCTAGTATAATTAAACATTGTTAAAAAGCTTTCCATTATATTCTTCAATATATTGCTTTCTTGTTAAAATTCAAAATCTACTATCAACCAATTCCTTCTATGTCAATTTAATCATCAATGTTATTCATACCAATTGGTCAGAGCACTGCCTTTTATGTAGTCCTGCAGGCTACCAAATTAGGCTCTTCAGTGCAAGTTTCAAATGTACATTCTGAATTAACACCTTTAAGCTATAGGCCTCTCATAGAACTCTTAGGAAATATTATCAATTCAGTGATTTTTAAAATATCCTTAAAGACATCAAAACACAACAAAAAATATCCTATATTAAAATCTATTGGCTAAGAAGCATTACCTTAGAGCATTAGAAAAGTGAACGCCCTTTATGAGCATTTACAAAACCCATCCCTTCAAGGCAGCTAGTTTGGTTTGTATAAGTGTCAGACTTGCTAGTACAAAGCCTCAAATCTTTCATAATAAAGTAAAACAAAATGAAACTTAAGTTTCCAAAAACTGGTACAAGTATTATACAAAAAGTAAACTGCTGAGGAACTTTTAAACCTCAAGCAGATGATTGCCCACAGCACTTACCCTTGATTTTCCTTCCGCATCCTTAAAGAGCTCCACGTATGTAACCTCACCAACTACATAAGACATACAAAAGGAAGATACCAAGAAACAATACATTTAAACACCAATATCTTGCTTTACTGCACACCTGTGCACAACTCTACAGAAAAGCACCTATTATTCACCAACAATCAAAACCAGACCAACATACCTCCTGTCAATGGCTATGTAAATTTAACTAATTTTCAGAAATGTACATCATCCACATTCTCTAAAAAAGCTAACAACCATATTAACCTAATTCATGCTACAGATCATATTTTGGCCAGCATGATATAGTTGGTGAACAAATGCACATATACATACAAATGGTCCCTTAGCCTATCATATTAAAAACATCAACATTAGCACTTTTCAAATAACTTTGGTCGCCTACACACAACAGCTGTTTTAAGGTGACTTTCTACCTGAATGTCTTCAATCTTGTTTGCCGTCAGTAAACTAAATTTACAAGTCATGCTTCACAGCAAGCCACACACTTTCTAAATAAAGTCAATGAATAAAACCAATCAAATAGTTGTCACCTTACAACAGATACACCAATGCAAATTTTTTTTTATTTATTAGAAGAGATCAGCCTCAAAACCAAGTAAGTAGTTTGCAGGACTGTTGAAACTCAATTTTTCAAGAGATAACAGAACTAACTTTTACAAGATCAAGTATTAAAAATATTTTTCCCCAAAATCAACCATGTATATAAAATGAAGGTTTTCAGGTTATTCTGAAAACAAAACTGCAACAGCAGTAACACAATTTTAATATAGAACTGCAGAGACAGCATCATGGCATTCATGACAATGCAAACAAAATGAATTCCACAGCCAGATTCCAGACTCCACCAAGATAATAACAAAACAGCTTTTGGAAAAAAAAATAATCAGACCTTATTATTCATACGTTAACACGCTAAATATATTGCTTACCTAATGCAATAGGCCTTTAAAAATCTATAAAAACTTCAACTAGACAAAGCAATCACTTTAACAAAATTCTTGGTGGCATGCATATGCTGGTTCGCTACTACCCCACTAAAATGGCAAAAAAAAAAAAAACAAAAAAAAAAACTTCATTTATCCGTACTACCTTGTAATGAAATTGTGTCAAGTGAAAGAAGAGGAAAAGATTAATTTATGTGTCAAAAAAATCAATTTTTTGAGTCTGTGTGGCTAAGAGGAATAAAAAAAAGTTTGCTTAGCTCCCTCTCATTCTATATGAAAATTATCCAACAATGGGTTTCTCAAAAATAGTTACCTTTTTCTCTCATTAGATCTTTAATGGCTTGCCATTTCATGTCATATGGGATGTTGCTAATAAAAACTCTGTTACGATTTGGACCCTTCTTTTCTCCAGTGCCTGAGTTCTTATCTTTTGAATAAGGATGAAATCTGTTGGCTTTCTTATTTCCTGTAGATTTTTCTTTTAATTCAGATTTCTCTTCTTTGACCGATTCATCATTCTCCCTGTGAATTAAAAATAAAACAAAAAACAGAACAACAAAAAGAAAACCTCAGCGGGGCTTCCATAATGTAAGTCTACGTTAAATAAATATTTCATATTTATCACTTCACTTCACAAAATTCTCCCAAGTTAGACCTCAGCAAAGCAGCTGGAGACTCAGCCTACTGGCTTTGAAATTACTCAGTGTCTTTTCAAAGCAATGATTTGGGCATATTACCAAAGTTCTCATTTAACAACCCTCCTTTTATTCTGTATTAAATAGCTGCAGCATTCAAACAAACCTAGTTTTTCCCATCATACTACTTGATAACGTTGTTAGAACCTGACAAGAGGGTAAAATGGGTGATTTTATTCCTAGAGTATATTAAAACTTCCACCTTTAATGGAGAATTAACTTCCTGGGCCTCATTCAGAACTCTACAAAAATTAATTTACAAAATGAGACCCAGAAAAAGTTTCTCTCTTAAAGGTTAATGGTTTCCTCCCAGAACTTTCCTCTTCCACTGCTTTAAGAACATAATTAAAACATAATTTTATCTATATACTCCCATACGACTCTCATAATTTTTGTCTCTTCCCAAATTGGTCAACATAGAAAAATGATAAGGTATCCTATTTTCATGCCCAATATTTTCTGTGTTTTAACCTATAAACTAGGATAGCGTACTTCATAGAATCATGCCATTTTTATTAGTAGTATCACCTAAAATGGTGGGATGGGATGGAGAAGGGAAGCAGTACTTAAATGCAACATGAACCAGAATTTTATAAATCTACTTTTTTTTTTTTTTTTTTTTTTAGCGGTACGCGGGTCTCTCTCACTGTTGCGGCCTCTCGCGTTGCGGAGCACAGGCTCCGGACGCGCAGGCCCAGCAGCCATGGCTCACGGGCCCAGCCGCTCCGCGGCATGTGGGATCTTCCCGGACCGGGGCACGAACCCGTGTCCCCTGCATCGGCAGGAGGACTCTCAACCACTGCGCCACCAGGCAAGCCCTACAAATCTACTTTTTAATGAGGTCCTAACTGGAAAAATATTTAATTTATAAGATTGCAATCACATTACAACAGTATGATGCTATCCACCAAGCACCTGTAACGTGTTAAGTATACACTTAAAGCAAACCCTAAAGATAAAAATCTGGAGATATATTTTAAAAATGCAATTTACTTCTCAAAAGTAATTTTTTTTTTTACAGAAGGAACAATATATTTCTTTTAAGTCACTAATTACCCTAGTGAATTTAAAACTATTTAATTAAAACTTCGATTTTAAAGCAATTTTTCACAAACATATACTAAGAAAAATCTCTGGGAATGACATCCAGGAATGTAAATCTTTTAAAGCTTTCTGGATTATTCTGACAACCAATCAGGTTTCATAATCCAGGCTCTATATTATCTTCTAAGCCAAGCGACTATGGGAATCTATACATTGCAGTGCTCCACACACACCTCTTACTGTAGTCATTTGTTCCACAATATAGTGAAGTTTTCAGACACTGTTTTTCTGAGCAGGTAACAACGCAGCCATAAATATAGTATGTAAAACTCTATGAGAACAAAAACTATCTGCATTGGTGTCAGCAGCATCTAGCGTGGTAACATGTGTTTGATAAATATTAATTTTTGAATGAATAGTCAATTAAAAACCCATAGATGATGCTACTGTCTGCCAGAAAAACTGCTAAAATCAAGGAAGACACATTAGGGCCAAACATGCTTTGCTACCTCTTTAGACCTTGACAGGGACACCTTCACTATCAAACATCTTCCCTCATCAGAAACAGCATGCCTGGAAGCGGTCTTCTCAACTGTCTAACTCTAGCAAGTACCTACCTGTCTGAACAGAGTGGCACTCCTATAAATGGCAGCAAGCAGTCAAAAAGCCACAGAGCACTTTTCTCTGGTTTCTGAGTACAGTGAATACAAGAACAAACCCTTCTTTTTAATCCCCCAAAGAACCTATTTACATAACAGGCTGAATTCAATGAAGGTTTTTTAAAATAAACTAAGTCTCTGTTCAGGTGAGCAGACATCTATATAGTCCCTATCCAAGTACACCTTCCCCTGCCTATTTTATTCCTAGATGAAACCAACTGTGAAAACTGAAAAAAGTTCTGAATCACTCGCTATGTTCTTTTATTCTTACATGGATGTTGTAAGCTTACAACAATCTAACAATTCCATTAAGCGGTAAAGTTATTATATAGGATATGTTCTTTATTACTCAAGGGATGACCAGAGGGAGAGACTTCTTCAAGCTTTCCCCAATTAGTGGCATCTTAAAGATACTGTTAAACTGCTCATCTACAATGCATAAATTAAGATTACTATGGAAGGTAGATCAGTTTAGCTGCTAGAGGTGTAGTCTGATTATTAAGAAAGTGAACTGTAATTACTCAATTTCTGAACTCATTTCTAAGTCATAAATACACTATGGGAAAGACAGTAAAGATATATGTGAAAACTCGTAGGAAAATGATACTACATAATATCAAAATATTGGCACTATATCCAGAATTCCATGTAATAATTCCAGAACTATTCATCTAAGCAATCTCCCCTGTAATGTACTTGAAATAAAGACTGTGATGATTCTAAGTCACAAAAACATTATCTACTCTTAAGACTAAATTATGTCTACCCGAATTAACATCAATTTCTGAAAAATCAGTATCCAACATCAAATGAGGACACACAGTTTCAATATGTGACTTAAAAAGCGTAATGCTATGAGATCCAAAATCAAGCCCGGTTCCATTCTTTACTCCTAATATAATAAAAAATACTACTCTACTTCAAACACTACACCTTGCACCAATACTTAATATTTTATACAACCACTGTAATGTAACTCTGAATCTCCATATGCTCCAAGGTGTTACTTAGTCACACATGAATAATAAAGAGTTATAACAATACTGCTATTTTTCTTTCCATTCACTTAAGGAGAGCTAGTATACCATTTTGGCATAAAGAAAAAGACGAGACCTAGGGAAACATCTTTAATTTCTTGTCAAAAGATGTGAACATGCCTAATAAATCCTCTGTACATGAGTTTCATGATCATATAAGTTCACTTCTGCATTTCTTAAATGTTTATTGCACCTTTTTAAATATAAGGACTTGGGAAATACAAACAGGAGTAAGACATAGCTGTCTCTGACATAGCTGCCTCCATCCTTAATTACTATGAATTAACCTCTGTAAAAATCATTTCAGTCTTGATGACAAACAGCATTCTGTCCACTTCTAAGCAACATATATTTTAAGGCAATATTTGGTAATTTTTAATCACCTCTACGAATTCTTATCATTAAAAATATATGGTGAATCAACTCAAGGTTTATGTGTTGGGTTGTAAACTACTGCAGTTGGTGCCCAGGGTCAAAACAAAAAAAGGCTGTTAGACTGATGCAGGTAAATGTCCCTAGTTATTCAGTGTGAGTGACCCATGATAGACCATTATATGTTCTTAAGGAATAAGCAGTACAAGAAACCTCTGATAGTAAATTGGCTTCTTTACTCAACTGGGAAAAGAGGGAGAGAGATGAATTATAAGCAATATGAAAAGAATCTGCATTTGTATTTACTGGTAACATTGCTTCACCTTATGTTTTCCTCTTCCTCAATCAGAAGTGAAAGGGATTCTTTTCCCACCTCTGTCCTCTTCTGTCTAGCTAAACCCCAGTGAGACTTTAAAAGGGATTAGAGCCTTTTAGATCTAATGGAGGTTTAGATACCAGCTTTATCTGTACCAAGACTATTAAACTAATCATACCCAAGTATAGCACGGCTTCTCTCCATAATTCAAGGCTGTACTTTTTGTTCAGGAGGTGGCAGGCCCATATTTAGGTAAAAACAAAATGCTTTTATCATTCTACTAGTTTTCATTTGTATTTATGATGCCAAATCCCTGAAAGCCCACATTTTGGCAGGCAGGGTAGAAAGTGCTTCATTCACTTTCTGGGTCTTCAGTTACTAAGTGCACCAGGTTCCACCTCTATTTTGCCTAGAAGATACTGCCTATCCTATTCAAATCCAGTTGAGAGCAAGAGTACATAACAGAGCTGGGAGACCTACCTTATCTATCTGCAGTCAACCCTTAAACAGACTGGTCCAGGTCTGTTCTTACACAGGTTCTTATACAAAAGAAAAGTCAGAATATTTACCTTTCCTATTTCTGTGTGAACCTTATGTTCACTTTCACTTTCTACTAAATTTAGTGTTTTCACTAAATTATTAACATACTTTCAACTTCAGGTTTAAAGAGCTGGGCATGTGCAAATCAAATGCCTGACTTCATATTCCCCCTATATAACAAGAACAAAGGGGAGCACAGCATTATTATGGATTCGAATCGACTACATTCTTTATCGGTACTGATGACAGCTGCAATCTTAAAAGTAGTGGGTTTTTTCAACTAGGAAAGATCTTATTTTTACCATTTTACCAAAATTAATATCCTACCATCCCGCACTGAGTTTTTTTTTTTTAAATAGCCTGCGTGGCTGACAAACAGGGGGAGGGAGTTGAGGGGGGGCGGAGCAAGGCACCACGCACAGTTCCCTTTTTAAAGTACCTCTTACCAATTCAAGGGTAACAATGGATTCAGTCTCACAGCATATTACTAAACTTCCTCTTGCTATATATCAGTTAAGAAATGAATACATACTTTAGAAAACAACAGTGAACTTATAAAGCTCAGAATGAGGACGGGGAGATGGGGGGATATTCCTTTTACAAACGTCTTCGGTTGTTAAGAGAAAATGTCCGATGATGTCATCCCTAGTTACTCCCTAGTGATGAACACTAACTACTGGCCTTTAAAAGGGGGACCATTTTTCTGCAAACTGTGGCGGCCGCCGAGCTCTGCTGAAAGGTTTTCCAGCCGAAGTCAGGTTAGAAGGGGTGACTCACGGTCTTGGGCCAGAAGCAGGGGAGGGGCGCCAGACCCCAGGCCCACACCCGGGATCCCCCGCTTCGGGGCGGACGGGGAGGGCCGGCTGCACCTGCACCTCCCGCCGCCCACGGCCCAAGGCTCAGCCCTGCGTGGGGCCCCCCCGGTCGACTTCCCGCCGCCCCCCACCTCATCCCAGTCCCCGGAGGAAAAGACAATACATTTTAACGCCATTGGAGCTGCTGCTGTGCTGCGGCGGCTGCTTCTCCTGCTCGGGCGGGTGAGGTTCTCGCCGGGGCTCGCCCGGCGGCTCCGCGGGCTGCCGATGCGGGCTGTCGTCGCCAGCTGCCCTAAGCACCTCGGGCTTGTCGGCGTCGGCCATTCCGCCGCCACGGCCTCCCCCTGCGCCGCCTGCGTTGAGGGGCTCCGAGCGCCACAATGGCGGCGGCCGGGAAAGCGGTAACGGATCCCGATTTGAAAAGGCCCCGAGCGCTCAGTTGCCCAGATCTCGCGAGAACCGGTCGGGGCTTGGAGACTGGGAGATGGTGTGAGCTGATGGGGGGGAGGGG